ACTCATTCAATAAATAAAATTAAAACTACGTGGTCAATAGTCAATAAATTTCGTTGCAAAGAAATTAGTAGAGACAAACATATTACTGTAGCTATGGCAGTATTGTATCTGACCCGATCATGTGGCTTTATTATTCTGAGAGCATCTCGAATCTGTAATACCAGCTAAACTCAACTCGGGCATCTCTCTGAAGCATGTACACTTCCAAACAGACATGTTCCAAACTCTTTTTACTATGAATTTGTTACAATAGAGGAAATTGAACAAATTGTTATGGCATTCACGAATAAAGATTCGCGTGGATTCGATCAGATATCTGTTAGACATATTAAGAAACTTATTCCCTATATTTCTTCATTTGTAGCTGATTTGATTAACATTGCCGTTTGTACCGGCACGTGTAGGGATTATTTTAAGAAATATCAACTTTTGACCGTATCCTCAATTTATTTGCTAAAACTACTATCCTATACTCAAAAAAAAGTCTCATTTTCATGATTATAACACGAGGAATAAGAACCAATTTTGCTTAGGTAAGCATAACTTAGCTACTCACGAAAAGTATGCTGGTACACGAATATACAATAATTTACCAGAATCTCTTAAACAAATAGATAATGTTATGCTCTTCAAAAAGCACCTTAAGAGGATGCTCTTATCTAACATCTTCTACAGCATAGATGAGTTCCTTGCGTTTTTGAAGGACCTGAAATAATGCAATTGTCAGGAGGTCCATTCACTTGGCATTCACATGCACTTTTTAAATTTTATGTTATCAGTTTGTCTGTTGTTCTTTTAGTTTGTTATTTATTTCGCCTTTACTTTTTAGAAGTATTATATGTGATACTTATGATATAGTGTTCGGAACTAATAAAGGATTTGAATTTAAATCTGCAGATACGGAAAACTTTGTTGTGTTACTTGAACAGTATTGATATAGGTCATAAATAGGGGGATTAAAGGTACATCTACAATTTGAAAAGTGGGGATTTTGGTGTTTCCAAACCTCCTAATATTTCTTACAAAATACTAAAGGTAGAAGATAAATCGGATTTTGACAGAGGCAGGCACAAAATAGTATGGGACACACTCTATGAAAATCCTGTTTCTTTTATATTCAAATAACTGGATATTGCTACAAACCATCAAGAAATAAGCTTATATAAGTATAGTTATCAGAGAGAATAAACTTAAGCATTATAGTCAACAAACGAACTGAAACTACTAAATACTTTAACTGATTACGGAAGAAATTATAAATCAAGTCGCTTGTTTTCCCACTGAGTCATGGTCACATTAAGAGACAGCAATTCCTATAAATATAAACACTTGGGGTGTAGAGTTGATCTACTCAACGCAATTTAGATACACTGGTACAGAACAAAATAAAAATAAAAATTCGATGTAGCGGTTACACTGCTGGACAGCTTATCTACAAATAACATTAAAAAATAGAACAGCATATCTTAAAATCTGTGGACATTACAGTTTTTTTGCTGTTGATTACAATAAAAGCTTTAGTTGTTGGCTACTATTTCAAATCATCCACTTTTCGTTAAGAGGTAATTCGCAAAACCGATGATTTTCTGCTTCAGTTAAATATCCCTGATGTATCTTCCATCCGTTGTAAAATCGGTACATACAACTTTCAGGAGTTAGATACCCTGATTTAGTGTCCTTCTATGTACTTTGCGTTGGTGTGGGAACTCGCAGGAGTAAAATGTCAATTTGTTGATTCTAATTGTTTTTATTATTGCATCCGTCATCTGCTCTAGATGGGCTTGGAATGCCCAGTCACGATTTCACGATTTATTCGCTAATTGAGTTGGTGCTATTTTGATGATGGATTTCATTTATTCCGATTGTTCTCCGACTTGAACCGAACTGCTTTATTCGGCTGGCAACTAAAGACTTGTCGTGTTGTTGCTTCAATATAAGATGTAGTCCTATTGGAGACAGTAGCAGATACGTGCAAGCAGCCGAAACGATAATACGTGCTTGCACCATTGAAACATAATAATAATGATGTTAATAATAATAAAAATAGTTAATACTAATAATTAACGTCTTTTTTATACATGTATTATATTATAGGAGGCGAGATTTTGTTACTATATAATAATAATAATATTAATAATAATAATAATAAATGCCTTTATTTCCAAACAGTTTTCAAAAAAAAAATCAGAAAGAGAAACATGAGTATTAACCAAAAAAAAACGGAAAATATAAAAAAAATAAATAAAACAAATGTCGACTGTCTGAAAACCACATTTTACCACCTAATCTCATGTACTTAGTTTGAGCCGATGGCCAGATAAGATAAAACGCTCATCAGAATAAATTTCAAATAAACCATTGTTGTGCACCACTGCTTATAGATGACTTCCGAAAAACAATGTATCGGTTTCTCTTTTCGTCTTCAACAACTTCCTCTTTTGCCTTGCATTTTATGCAATGTTTTGTACAGTCGCGTTTTTAGAATAAAGAACTGAATCAACATTGTTTCAAATAGGTGCAGGTCTTGGTTAACTTATTATGCATCTCCAGAGATTTTGGGTTTGATTACATAAGAATTATATCTTTGACTAGCCAGATGAGCTCATTTCTATCAAGTGTTACATTTCTTTTGCGGAAATGTATCACTTCGTACATTTAGGTTAATAAAAAAAATAGAATGCAAACGCTTTCCAAACAGATGTGCTGTTTTTTATGAGGCTGGATGAATAAAATCTCATAAGCAAAACAATTCTTACAACATAGATGCCACTTTTCAACACGCTTTTATAAGCTTGGCCTGTAAGGACCGACCACAATGCAATAATTTGATAACAGTTTTCCATAATCCTTATTAGGATCGCCAGGACTGATAAATGCTCTTATAGATCCTCCGTAGGGGAGTAAGAGAGATATAGCTAGCACATGATCTGCCCATGCGTGCAGTTTCGAAGTTACCCTTTGTTGGAACGACAGTGGTACAGCGCTTTTTATCGGGGATTAATTGGACTATACGAGCATTAACAAGCCGTTGAAGATACACTTTTGACTAATTCTTTGTTAATCTAGGGTGCTGCAAGCTGGATCCAATTCGATTATGAAGAGGTGTAGTCGACAAGATACCGAAATATACCTTGCATTTTTTTCCGAATACTTTTAGACTACTTCTGGTGCAACAACTACGTTAAGCAGGAATTATCGCGGAATTAGTGTGAGTTTAGGCTTTGAACGGTAAATGCACGTATTTGTTTCAGTTGCGAGTATATAAAACATTCCAGAAATATGCATAACTTTAAAAGGTGTCACGTTATTTTTTGTAAGTCTACAACGGCGATCCCAAATCGGCTAAGTAAAATAAATACGCATTAAAGAACCAACAACGAACCATAAGAAAAACGCTCATCATAGAATATTGTTTATATACTAAGTGACATATAAATCCGAACACCCAGTTTTAATGGTTTTATTTTAATAAAATTTTGTATAAGTAATTAATGAAGCATATTAAGTAAATGATAAAAATTTCAAAATGATTGCACTGCTTTGACCTTAATAATGTGTGGATGCACCCTGATGTGCTACGCATTCTCCAATGCGCCTAGGCATGCTTCTGATCAGGTGGTCAATGTCCTCCTGTGGTATCTCATTCCAGGCAACCACCAACTCCTCTCGAAGTGCTTCTAGAGTCTGAGGAGGACGTTGCAAATTGAGCAATTCCATCATATCCCACACGTGCTCAATTGGGAATAAGTCAGGAGATCTTGGTGGCCATGGTAACAATGTGACATCATTATGTTGAAAGAAGTCTATTGTGACTCTTGCAGCATGTGGTCGGGCATTATCTTGTTGGAAAGTTGGATCTACCAGGGTGTCAAGATAGGGTAAAAGATGGGGTTCTAGAACTTCGTGGATATAACGCTGCGCGTTCAGGTTACCTCTGATGAAGATTAAAGGTGACCTGGAACCATAAGCTATAGCACCCCAAACCATAACTCCAACAGTGTGATGAACATGTCTTTCAACAAAAAACTGTGGATTCCTCCTTTCACCACGTCGCCTTCTAACCCTGGCACGACCATCGTGCATGCCTAAACAAAATCGAGACTCGTCACTAAAGACAATACTGTTCCATTCCTGATCCCAGAGTGACCGTTGTCTGCACCACTCAAGGCGATTACGTCGGTGTTCTTGAGTCAAAGGGAGGACCCAGTGTGGACGGTATGAAAACAAGCCAAAACTTCTCATTCGTCGGTAAACACTTCGCATGCCAATAGGTCTTCCGTGTTCTGCAAACCATTCATTTGCAATGGACCTGGTAGTGGAGAAACGGTCCCTTAAGGCCAATAATCTCAGGCGGCGATCTTCACGGTCTGTTGTTCTACGGCGGCGTCCAGTGCCCCTTGCTCTTTGCGTACGGCCTTCTCGAAGCCATGCCTGACAACACCTAACCACAGTGTCTACACTTCTTTGCACTCTAAATGCGAAAAGAAAGTCCAGCTTCCCGAAGTCCCACTATACGGTCCCTATCAAACTCACTAAGTTGACGAAATCGTACAGGTCTCCATACTCTAGGCATCGTAACCGATCGTAAAGGATGTCAAGAACCAAAATCCGCCAACGTTGATTCTTTACTGCGGCTGAAATATTCATTTTTAGAGCGTTAGTGAATTAAAAAAAAGCAGTATATAAACCGGAATGTCCAACTGATAAGCCTGAAAATTTTTTCACTTGTTATTTACAGTAAGATAAATACATTCACCAACTTTTATTAAAATAAAACCATTTAAACAGGGTGTTCGGATTTATATGTCACTTAGTATATTTATTAATTTACAGTTTTGTTAAGATTATGCTGAAGCGGTGTCAACAAACACGCCCTAATCCGAAAAACTGATGTAGTGAACTTGTTTTTTGGACCAAACCCGACGGGAGTATGAAAGCTCCTTAGCGAAATAAGACCTCCCGCCCGCAATGGCACCGTGATTACACATACACTCGCGCGAGGGGACAATTGCCCATCACATTTGCGGTATTTTAATAGAATTGCACCTGTACGCCGTTCGCTATTCAACGCCTGCACCTCACCAGAAAATGTCCCTACACGTCGTCGTGGTCTTGGTGGTAGCTGTGGCCACTTTGCACTTGGTGGCTGCCAGGCCGGCTGATGCAGATGCTCAAGCGCAGATCATTAAGTACGATAACGATATTCGGATCGATGGATACGATTTTGCGTAAGTTCAGTTGTTACTTCAATCAACTCTTCCTTTGGCACTTCTGCATTTAACTTCATGTTTCTTCCTTTCTATGCGTCTACCATCTGCCTTCTTCATTGATCTCTACCAATCGTTCTTTAGGTACTTTTGGGTTTCGTTCATTTTCATGCTGATAATGAATAATGCTTGATTAGCCGCTAAATGAAACCACATATGGCTGAGTTACTTTTAATGGAGACGACGTTTCTACCACAACCGTGGTATAAATGACAATACATTTTGCTTACCTGCCTTCCAAGTCGCAGTTCGTTTGGTATTTTCTTTTCACATACTTTCACTGTGTATTGCTTCAACAGCCTGAACATATCTGGTTTCATTCACCGGCCAAGCAAACGTGAAGGATTATTTCATACATGGTCACGTTTTTCATTCATGTTATGCACCACTGGTCCAAATTATGGAGTTTTTTCTGTAGAGTTGACTATACATATAAAATTTTTTTAAGGTATAAGCAAAAGCTTTGTTTCTTTGGCAATCCTTTCCCAGATATTTATCAAGACTAAACGTGTTCTTCATTCAAAAGAACTCTCTCCGGTTTTTTGTGTTTCCTATGTTTACTGTCTGATTAATTTATATCATCCGTTTTCCTTCTTAAAGGTTATGTCAAAGTATTTCTGGATTTATTCGAGGCGTATAAAATTCAAGTTCTTCCTCACAGTTACCGATAAAGAATGATAAGGTTACTAAGCGGGTGTATTGAGCTTCCTGATACTCGGTCAAAGTTTGAAATATGATCGTTAATCTCGAGAACCTTCCAGATTATGCATTTATATTTGCTAAATTGTCTATTTGTATATCCATTATCTGTAAGAGTTAACTATAATGATCTTGACCTTGAAAATCAAAATTACCATGTTTTTTGTACCCATGATTTCCAGTCGATGAGTTTACGACCTTGTTTGTTGAGAAAATTTTCCATAATTCATTTGTAGACTTTTTCATGTGCGCACGTCATCTGCTATCAAGGAATCAGGCACTTAGGGCTCCAGCTGTTTGCAAAAGTAATTGCTCAACCACAAAATGCTATTAATAAAAGTAAATGCAAAATCGAGATATAATTGGAACTGTAGAGCAAATTTTGCTTCTCGGCGCTCTAGTAGCAGTTACTTTCTGATCGCGTCTTTGACATTAGTCGAGCACATTTATATTCTAAGGTGCCCCTTTCAAACAACGAATGTATACAAGTTGTCTAACTACCAATGCTTTTTATCACTTTTTTGATCTTTAAGATTTAATAATTTTTCTTGTACATTATCATTTTCACACAATAGGTTATAGATGTGGCATTCGGAAAGACTGCAAACGTTTCTTGATCCTTATAGTATTAAAAACAGTTCGCCAATACTATCCCGATTATTATATTGTACGCAATATTAGTTGTTTATCTCTTGGAATATCAAAGTTTAGTTATCATACTATGATGAGTTTGGCAGGATACGTATTGATTTGAATGACATTATCTATCTGGGTATTATTTATCATCATGATTAATATAGGAAGAGAAAATATACTTTCAGTGGGGCGTAGAAGTAATGTCTCATGTTGGTGGTTGAAAACATACTTCTGTCAGAAATATTCATTACGGTTGGCATATTCGACATTAAACTTGGCTAAAGCTGTTGCTTAATAGCAAATGTTTACCCGCTGATTCTCTATTGCCTCTATTTTATAAGAAAAAGCAACTGCTTGCCTCCTATTAATTAGGATAAGTTATTTTTATTATTTTTTGATCGGGTCAAGTTAACAAGTTGTAGTTCAGTGTGATGAAATTTATGTACTTTGAAAGGCGTTATCTTACAACATTTTAAAAAAAGACAACGACAAAGAAATCACCCCAGCTCAGCAACCAACGATTAAAACAATCTTCTTCCCATGGAAGCATGTATTATACAATTTGTATTGCTTTGAAGTCGTCAACTTATCTATCAAAAAAATACCTGCTCCTGGTATATACGCAAAGTGTGAGAAACATCGTACCCAATCTTCTGGAGAAGTAACCATAACAGAGATAACATCAGTAAGTACTTACAGAAACGTTAGCAGCTCTTCCGAGGACGAACCAAGCATTTTCGGTCATTTTTCTTTAACCTCTCCCGAAATTGTGTCACAAAAGTCACATTTTTGTCAAGATATATCAACTTTCAACCTGGCCTATACATAGGGTGTTTATCCGATATGACTAGACGAAAAAAGAAGGATGAAGAAGAGCAACAAGAAGATAAAGATTATTATTTATCCAAGAATAATGCAAATACTACTATAGAGCAAGAAGTACAGTACCTGAAGAAGCTATTAGAAACAAAGACTGAAATAATTTTAGATAAAGAGAGGTATATCAATCAATTAGTTAATGAGAACAGACGTTTACAGGAGCATTATGAATTGATCATTAGCAGTATAGTGGATAAAGAAACCATAATCACTTCTTTGGGGAAAATAAATGAAAGAGTTGAAAAAATAGAAGCTACTACCTCATACACCCGTTGTAATGATGTAATTAAATCATATAGTGGAGCTGTAAAAGAGTCAAAAAAAGCAGAGATGAGAAGATTGTAGATAAAATTAATAATACACAAAAGTTGATGATAAAAAGTACGGACAAATCAAACTCTAATGTGTTGGATGATTTGAAGAAGAGCATGGATCCAGCTAAGTCAAATATCTGTGTGAACTCTGTGAGGAGGGTGAATAATGGCATCATTCTTAGCTGCGAAAATGAAGCATCATTGTCCAAGCTGATGGCGAGTATACAGGGAGAACTCGGTGCGAACTTCACTGTCAATGAGATCAAGAAATATCGCCCACGCATGGTGATAAATAATGTAGAATGCGCCTACACAAAATCTGAGGGATTAATCGAGAAGACCTTGTCCCAGAATGAATTTGGTATTTTCAGTAGTGATGATATAAAAACTGTAACCACTTTCAGATGTTCCGAATCTACTTTAAATGTTGTCATTGAGGTTAGCCCAAAATTTAGAAAAACGTTGCTAGATAGAGGTCATATATAGGTACATGGGTTGGCAAAGATGTCCTGTGCGGGATTAGGTACGAATTATACGCTGCTATAAATGTTCAGGTTTTGGCCACATGGAAAAAAATTGCATATAGTCAACGCCAAACAAAGTGGCGTGCACGTCATCAAGGTGGGTGTGTTGAAAAATTTACATTGTTGCCAAACTTTTTGTAAAATAATAAAATTTATTATTTACATATCTAGGTTTATAAGCAATATTAACCTCAAATGAGAACAAAAATAATAGTATAATAAAATTATAGATCTGTACTTGCATAATCATTAAGTATGACAATTATTGATCAGATGACACTATGAAACTACCATATTTAATTGATAGCTTAAAGGTACTGAATAAAAATCCAAATGGGGTCCTCCAAATTTTATGCATGGTATTTATTTTACAGAATTCATACAGAAAAATGCATTCTAAAATTAGGTAAGCTACTGGTGTAAGCTTTTTCTGTACAATAAAGTTAGTCGGAGTTTCTTTCTTCAGCGCTGTCTGAATCTGAATCTTCATCACTCTCAAAGTTGATTATTAAAGGTTCGATGTCTGGTCGATCAAAAATTCGTTCTCTTTCATACCATTTAAAAATTTCTTGCTCAGTATGTCGAACACTATTTTTCCACATGTCTGGGGTAACCGTTTGTAGAGCCTCGTTCCACATATCCAAACAGTCTTTTTCACTGTTACCATCTCTACCAATATGTCTGTTATAGTAACCTTTTGCTATGCCCCAAATTAACTCAATAGGGTTAAATATACAATGGTAAGGAGGCAGACGAAGAACTTTGTGCCCATGTTGTTCCGCCAATTCATCAATCACGTATATTTTAGGTGGTTTGTTTCTAAAAAGCAGTTATTTTAAGAATAGGAATAAATAAAAGAAATATAAACTGTCGACCAAAATATATATAATTAAGAAGCATTATGTACCGAGCAACAATACTCAATAGCTCTGTTTTAAACATTGTGTTTAAAAATGGTATGTTTTGATTTGTCAACCAGTCTTGGATATTTTTTTTTGTCCATGCATTGTTGGGCACTTTGTTCAATATCATGCTGTGATAAGGGGCGTTATCCAGTATAATCATAGATGGACTCTCCAATTTTTCTAATAACTGATGTTGAAACCATTTCAAAAAATTGTCCTGGTTCATCTCTCCATGGTAATCGCTCAATTTTGTTTTCGAAGAAAATATCGCTTCACTACCCTCAATAAACCCATTTTCATTTCCAGCATGTAATATAATGTATCTAAAATATATTAGTTTTAAATTTTATAGTGCAAATTGTGTAAAAGTACATACCTTTTACCATCTGTTTTAATAGCTTTCACGCTTTTTTGGTTTCCATTTTGCCAAGAGCGACCTATGGTCCCATTTTGAAATATCCAAGTTTCATCGAGGAAGACAAACTGGTATAAGGCCTCAACCTTGGCTTGATTGTATTGCCTTAGAAATTCCACCCTTTTCAAAGCTATACTTGGTAGTTCCATGAGCCCTCGTCGCGGATTGTCCTTAAGCCACTTAAATCCAAGATCTCTAAGCAACCGCCTTAAAGACGTGGCACTACCATCAAATAATGCCCTATCTCTTAATCGAGACCATAAAGTTTGTATCGTAAGTTGTTCTTCTGAAACCATGTGTAATATGACATTATAATTTAGTTAACAAATTAATGCAAATTTCTGATAAGTTATTATAATAAGATCTTACTTTTGTGATACATATTATAGATCACTTCTCGAATGGCACTTGTATCCAATGTCGCTGTGTTGGTTACACGTTTAATATAACTCCGCTTTTTCTTGGGCGATTCTAAATTTGCATCACTTTTCACACCCTCGGAAATACGACTAACTGTCCTTAAACTAATTTTTAAAGCAGCAGCAACACGCTACAGAAAATGAAATAAAATTTCACTATTATTAATATACATTACATATAATTATTAGTAACCTACCTCTTGAACAGCATTTAAAGGCAACAAAGGCCCGTTGTTGTCCCTTTCTTGCTCAAAGTAGTGCATTAACGAGGCCACGAGTTCCTTACACCGACTATTTAACTGTTTGGGCATCTTTATATACCAAAATTGCCTTTATCTACTCGTAAAATGAATAATTTTGTTTTGAAACAAACAGTTGTTCATTTACAGTATGCGGGGCCAAAGGATTTATAAAGATTTGAAATGCCACAAATTGATTCAGTGTCAAAATTAATACAAATGTCAGTTCCCAGTTTAAATAAGTTTCAAGGTGACAATGTGTCAACGCTGCGAAATTGGTTTAGTGCGTTTACATGTCGATAAGTGATTGGAGCGTTTGTAAAACATTTTATTTCGCATAATGCGTCTAAATTTATCAGAAAGCAACTTATGTGATATTTTAATAACAATGTTTATATGACTATTAACCATAATAAGAGGAGTAATGACCATTTTACAATTTATATATCACATTAATATGAAACTGCAATAGAGCAATTGTTTGTGATAGAAACCTAGGCATTAGGTCGGGGAATTTTTATCGTGATGACGTGCACGCCACTTTGTTTGGCGTTGACTATACATTCTAAAGTATCATGTCCTTTATGCGCTGGAGATCATTTGGAAAAAAATTGTAAATCTGCTTTTAAGAATTGTTCAAACTGTATGAATCACAATTCTAAATTCAACACTCAATTTGATACTAGTCATTCTTCTAAAGACTTATATTGTCCAACTTATAAAAAATATGTTACATATTTGAAATCTAGAATTGAATATGATTAGTGATAAATTCAAGGTTTTAAAATTTGGTCATATAAACTGCAGATCAGTATTATCAGGATTTCATGAATTTAGTACACTGGTTCAAAACAACAACCTTGATATTGTTGGAATATCGGAAACGTGGCTATCAAAAGATATATCTAATGACCATATAAGAATGAATGGATACAACTGCTATCGCTGTGATAGAGATGGGCGAGGTGGTGGGGTTGCAGTCTTTGTAAACAACCACTACAACTCTTCCATAATTTCATTTGGGCAAGGCCCAAGTATTGAATATATACGTATATGGTTGAAGGTGCAGCTTCCAAAACAAAAAATTGCTATTGGTATATTCTATCGGCCCCCACATAGCTCTGTTACAGAAGCCGGTAATACCTTTGATAACATGTTGCCTGCCATATTAGCTGAATATGATGATATCATTCTTGCAGGGGATATCAATGTTAATTTGCTTTTAGTTTATAACAACTTGACTAAATGCCTTGATTCTTATAATCTGAAACAGGTGATATCTGAACCGACTAGGATAACTGAATCGACACTCACTCTCTTAGATCCTATTTATTTGAGCAAGCCTGAAAGTTGTCTTAGGAGTGGCACTATTAATGCTGATATGATTACTGATCACTATTTAACCTTCTGTGATATACGTATTGCACTTCCTAAAAATCAACAGAAATTTGTTACATTCAGGGATTTCCATACTTTAAATGAAATAGCGTTTGAACAAGATCTCAAGAGTTTTCCATGGTGGCATATTATATCGATAGATGACATTGAAGATAAAATTAACTTTTTAACAGATAGTATTTTATGCTTATTTAATGTTCACTGTCCAAAAAAGGTAGTGCGTGTAAACAAAGCTCCAGCTCCTTGGTTGGATGATAATATTAAACTTGTATTCAGGCAGAGGGCTGAAGCTTTGTCAAAGTTCAAACGTGATCGTACAGCCGCCTCTTGGCAACAGTATACATATTTCAGAAATCGTGCATTAACGCTCGTGCGAAGAGGAAAAAGAGATTATTTACAAGCTGTTCAAAATCAGGATATAAAAAAGTTTTATAAGACCCTAAAGACTTTCAAAGTACAATCTCAGAAAGATTCTACGATTCCCGTGAGCTTGTCCGATCCGTATAAAATAAACGAGGCATTCATTTCAATTTTCGAGAATAGTGATTTGGCTTGTGCTGATAAAATTGCATATTACCGAGCTAATAAAAATAACTCAAAATTCAAATTTCAATTTAATAAGGTGACTATTGACACCGTTGTTAAAATTATACATAAAATAAAATCAAATTCTAGTGGTACAGATGAAATAACTCTGCATATGATACTACTGTGTATACCTGAAATTGATGTGTACTTAACGCATATTATAAACTGCTGTTTAGAGAGGGGATATTTCCCCAATCAGTGGAAACGCGTTATAGTTATTCCGCTACCTAAGTGTTCTGATCCTACTAACTATGGCCAACTGATCCGAAACTGAACCGATCAGTCTACTGCCAATTTTATATTATTTTTATTAAACAATCTGGATTTCGACAAGGTCATAATACAGCTTCGGCACTCTGTGATTTAACAGACAATATAACAATGGCACTTGATAACCAAAAAGCAGTAGCTCTCATACTTCTTGACTTTACTGAAGCATTTGACATCATTAATCACTCACTTCTTGTATCTAAATACAGTTACTATGGATTTTCTGAAAAACCTCTTTCGTTTATTCAAACCTACCTTGAAAATCGGTATCAAAAAGTTCGTCTAAATCAACAGTACTCTACGGAACAAAAAATTTGTTCTGGTGTACCACAAGGATCAGTCTTAGGACCGCTATTATTTTCATTATATATCTCAGATTTAGAAACAGAGGTAAAATCATGCAGCATACAATTTTTTGCAGATGATACTCAAATTTTCTATTCATTTAGGAGGAGTAATGACTTGGAAACGGCAAATAATAAAATTAATCAAGATCTTGCCCAAATTGAAAAGTTCAGTAGTAGTCATAATCTTCGTTTGAACCCTTTGAAGACAAATATGTTGGTATACGCAAATAGAACAAAAAAGAATACCTTGAAAAAGGACATAGACGTACATTTAAAAGGTAATAAATTAATTCCTGTGGATCATTCGAAAAACCTAGGTATTATAATGGATGATGACTTAAAATTTGTTGCACACGTGAACTATGTAATTACTCAGTGCTACGCTATTCTCAGAGTTTTATTTGCAAATAAGGCTATATTAAATAAATCTGCGAGAAAGCAATTGTGTGAATATTTCGTATTTTCAAAGATATCGTATTGCTTAGTGGTTTACTATCCCTATTTAGATATTATAACAAGAAATCGTATTCAAAGCATTATGAATACTTACATGTTGCAGGCTTGTAAATGATCTCAGAAAATATGATCATATATCGAATGCCATTAATGAACTCAAATGGATGAAAATTGATAAAATGTATAAGTACCAGCTCCTAAATCTGACTCATAAGGTTCTTTATTAAAAAACACCGTCATATTTAGTAAACAAATTCATACGTAGAGGGAATATGCATCGTATTAATATTAGATATAGAGAGACTTTTTCAATTCCACGCCACAGCACGTCTCTATTTCAGAATTCATACATTTACAATGCGATCAAATCATATAATTCTTTAGACCGCAGTTTAAAAGAAACCAATCCATTATCCAAATTCAAGAAAAAAGTGAAAGAAGTTCTTCTTGATCAGCAGCGAAATCGGTTGTAACCCATAAGTGTCCTCATATTTTCCTTATGTATTTACTTGGATTATTCGTTATTGTATACAGGTGCCTATTAATTTTCAATAAATTCTTTTTTTTTACATCTCGTATTGTTAAGGGGGTTAGATGGTAGAATAGATATATAATCTAAATCTCGACTCCTGTAAGAATATTACAAATAAAAGACGTTAATTATTATTATTAATTTGGAACACTCCTTTTAAGAAACTTCAAATCTGTCAATTTTTCTAAACGGATTGTCCCATGCTCTATTGTACGTTCAGGTAAATCCTACCAAAAGAAGAAGGTTGATATGTCGTACTATGGCACGTTGATGAGCGATAATGATTTTAATGTACAGAAACGGTTAACCTTGAGGTCCGGCAGCCCACCATTATGAAAGAAAGACTATAGAGTTACAAGGTACTGATAAAAAGCCTTAATGTTAGTTACTGCATGACTCCATATCCCAATTCAAAGAATTTTTCAAGATGGCGGCCAGCCACGTTAAACGATAGTATTAATGCAACAACTTGATGCAACTGATCCTACGCGCAAGCTTGCTCTTGTGGGTTTTCTGTTTGTTTACCATTCTAAACTGTGTACGCTTTTATATTCAGTTTACAATAATATCGTTATTTTTGGTAAATAAACTTAACTTCTTCACTCTGATAAACTTACCCGTTTAAAAAGTAAGTGGGGATGGTGGGCCCCTTTGAAGAGCACTGTAAAAGAGTACCTATGCAGTAGACGTATGCAATTTTTAACATAATGTCCCGCTTTAATCCTTATCGCTTAAGACAGAGGTTCGAAAAATACCTAATACAGCAGATATTACCAAGTCACCAATGTCGTTTATATCTTGTAATTCTAAAAATGCTCAACAACAAGAATATAAGAAAGACAATTCTTATCCCTTTTACAGATATGAAACCAGTAACGGCATCAAACGCACGGAGTCCGGAGTGGTAAAAGGAGGCGCGAAACCCGAGGAAGCAGCCATAAACGTCAACGGAGACTTTTCGTACGCCCTCTTGGATGGCACGCCTTTCAGCGTGACCTTCGTTGCTAGCGAAGATGGTTACAGGCCAGTAGTTACCATTGGCCAAGCCAGATCTGGATAAGATTTGTCTGTTAATTGATGTTTTTAATTGTGCTCACCGATTTTTGTATGAATAAAGTTGAGAACGTTGTACATTCTATTTTGCTTTGGGATATAAAGAATAACCATTCACGCCTTATTTCATACGGTGATAATTTGTAATGACCACTAGGCCAGAAGAAAGGCGCAACACAGTACGAAAATACTTTCTTCATAGATGCTTTCCATGGATTCTTTTGTGAGGGTACCCGCCCAAGGGGAAAGTCGCCCAATTAAAAAAAAAATCAGCTTCAGAATTCAAATGAATAAATGTTTTCATTCCGGCTAAGCTTACCTTAGATGTTGATTATCTTCCAATTAAGTCAACCTTAAGAATTGAATTTCTAATTTCAGTACATTAAATGGTAAGAAGATGTATTGTGTTTGAATTCTCTAAGTTTTTGCATTTGGTAGAGCTGTTGTCAACATTGTGTGCGGTGTCCAGCTAACGATTGACCCACCCCTCTAACTTCTTTATATGACTTTCTAGAAGAAAAAGCTGTACATAAAAGTTCAAATATGAAGTTTTCAATGCAATATTTTCTTGTACACCTTAGAGAAGTGCTAAAAGTATATTTTTTTTTAAATGGAAAACGCTGTACATTTTTAGTGAAGATGGTGGTCCTTTATTTCTAATTCCAAATATACGATGCTTTTCTTTAATGTCCCCTCCCTTTGATTCTTTGAACGGATCAATCCAAAATATTAAAACTAGCGGTAATGGAATTGATGCGTCGATACCATCTTTTAGAGTAAATATTGACAGATGAAAATGTCAAGATGGCCGCGGGGCGCCATCTTGGAAAAAAAAAATATATGAAAACGGGGGTCTTGTGGCACATCGTTTTAAAGCTCCTGACGAGTACTTTATGACCCTAGAATATAAAGTCAATACCTTTACCTACTGCAAAATGGTGGTACATTTAATAATTAAACCGTATATATTTTGAATCGGGAGATAGTTACTCTCATTTTTCCTGAAAAAAATAAGGGTGTTCCATTTAGCAAGCTACAGTTTAATTCGGTTGCACTTCTGAGACATTCACATACACAAATCTTACATGACAGACTTCATATTAGACATTATGTCCAAGGTCATATAAAAAGTTAGACGAAAGTCCTTTTATACCAGGAGACCCCGTACAGAGTAGTAGCAATCGCCGTAATAGCCGTATGATTAATGCATGGCCCACAGATTTCAGAGGTTCTGACTAATGGGAGAAAAATGCGTGAAGTGTTATCCACAATCTCACGTAACTTCTTGGGCCATACGACAAACTATAAATTTTTAAGTGCTGAATCATCAGATCGCATTGCTAGGTGAAGATAGGTAGCACTTTTCCTATTTTGACCCCCCAGATTACGTCGACAACTGCTGTAAGAAGCTTTCCAAATGATTAAATTTCCTTAGGACTGTGATTATCCTCAGAGTTTTGAAACCCAGAGTCGCCTTTACCTTTGTATAAAAAAGAAATAGAATAGCACCAATTAGACAGTCTTTGTATTTCCCAAACATTGAAATTTGCCTATTTTGAAACTTTCCAAACCTTTTGTTACCTATGCGAAAAATCTAAAATTTTGACCTATGTTTGGGAGTCGCCACAATTTGGATATGGGCTCCCACAGAAGCGAGCTACGTCACTGGGTTATGTAACAGGAAATATTTGATCTGAAATAATTGCGATTCATGATCTAGTGCACTAAAAGCATAAGCGCAAATAGCAAATCCTAACGAGGTTAAAAATGGTGGATGGGCACATATGATGAAATATATGGCGCATTCACCATTTCTATGATTACGACGAAATGAAAATATATCAGCGGCAGGTACATATCTATTCTCAAATAAAACCACGGAAAAACTGAACTGACAGTGGTGATCACGTGAAATAAATAGTACGTGCATTCTGGTTGCTCACATTTAGGCACACGTTGCTATTGTACCCAGGCCAAGGGCGGCATTTTCAAGGCGGCGGCAAAAACATTTACCAAATTTCAAATTAAAAGCTCTAAGTGCCACGCGATGGTCTAGCAGACTCGATGCAGTCAATCATCTGGAAAAAATATTTGATGCTTTGCTGGAAATATCTGATAATAATTCGACAGAATGGGACTGTGCAACATCTCACAAAGCTCATTGGCTGCGCTAAGCATTCAAAATTACAGTTTTACTTGCTCAATAATAATTTGGTTAGATATCTGTGCAGATTTGTTGGAAAAATTGATTATTAAGTTAATCGAATATCGCACAGATGAGCACTTTGCGAAGCTATTACAAGAAGCTACTAATGTAGAGGCAAATTTCCCGCCAATAGACACCATTCGTCTTAGAAGAAGACGAACCCAATTTCAATATGATTACAGTGACGAAGCGTTACTAGACACCAAGATTAAATACATAGTACGCTGACCTCTCTAGAGGACAGATTTGAGGAGTTAAAAACGTTTACTGACGATTCTCATACCTTGTTACAATACGTTTACTAATGATTTAATTTCAACATCTCCAAACACAGCAATAGCGGTACCGCTATTACTTACATTGCCAGTCACAGTTGCATCCGGTGAAAGATCCCTTACAAAGCAAGATAATAAAAAAAACTTTTTAAGGTCAACATGCACCACTAAAGACTAAGTAGTTTAGCTATAGTTTCCAGTGAACATGAAGTTTTAGACTGGTTGGATATGAAAAACTTGATAGCAGATTTTTCAAACATAAAGGCAAGAAAAGTTCAATTTCTGTAGAAATAAATATGTCTAAATATGTCTAAAGCATTTTCTGTATTTCTTTTATTTTCTCATGCCCTTATAATACAATGGCACTGGATTTGATTTGATACTCGGAATCGCAGAAGTAATTTAACGGATTGGATGTTATAGAATCTCCGTCCCAGTAATTCACCGACACAGAAAGTGCTCAGCGTAGATTGGTACATGCGGCGGCTAAATCGTATGTACCACATCTATACACGATTTCAGATATTTTTTGTGCTACTGGTTTTCAAATTTTTCCAACTGGTGTTAGATCTACTATATACTTATGTCGCGAAGAGTTGGGTAATGTTTGGTGGCACCTGTTTATTCTCTACGATGGAATCAAATAGTTTCCTTTGGTAGTACTTAAGCTCTCGTAGGTCCATCTATTACTTATTTCAACGATCATTGTTAGTGCATATCTTATGTATGCAACCACGCATTCACTCCTGAGCATTCCTGGAAGTCCGATATTGTATATTATGAAGGTGTGATTTTGTAGTAAGACTATCGATTAAACTTTAATTATTTCACCAGTGGCGTATCTAGAATTAGAGTATACAATGAGGGTCAAGTCGGCTAGAGGGCAATAAGGGACGTATGAGGTCAGATTGATTTCCCTGAGAAGCCCCGCTATGACACATCGGAAGCCTAAATACCCAAGTATGATTTTTGCGATACTGGTATTAAAGTTTATTGGAATGATTTTTGCGATGACTGGGCTCCGACATAGGATAGGTCCTTGGCGCTACAATCTCTGTAATCTCATTATTGTGAAGTGTAAATAGTAGCATCACATGTTGGTTGTTTTCCTATGACTTTGTGTTTTTATGGCGACAAAAGTAGTTGCGCAGCGCCTAATAATATTTAGATGCTTGCAAGTTGGTATTTATACCTCTATATATCCCTAAATAACAAGGTTGGGTTTATCTTTATCAAGAAACCGATCCATTTAGATGATTGACTAAAATTTTATTGGATAAATAAGTTTTTGGTTTTGAAAAGTGACATTATGTCGGTTTTTTTGTCATTACTTAGTTTTTTTGTGATAATATGTAGTTTCGAACATATATTTTTAACAAAGTACTTGTAATCATCTACCGATGGAGTGACTTGTAATACGGTGCCATCTGTGATGCTCAGCCTATCCAATTCATCTGCTCTTTCATTAAACGAGAGACCACTACGCCCTTCGATCCAGCAAAGATGGATGTCTGCATTGGCGAATTTCAGATAGATCAACATTTGTTTGATAATAACAAGAACATAGATATTAGTAGGTGACTTGACTAATGCTTGAATAATGGCCATAGCTTCGGTAGAGAATATAGAGAACAAATCTGGTAATTTAAACTTTGCAGAACCAGAATTAGACTTAGAAGCATCCGAGAAGGAATGCTTATAATCACTGTGACTATTGCATATGGACAAGAAAATGTTTTTATTGATATGAGGATTGTTACCGTAACTGGGAATTGTTATGTCAGTATTTTTCATAAGCTGGAATAGATCCATATCGTCCTTGGTGTAGAGGTGCTTCATAGCTATTAAATTTAAATTTAGTTGCTAGAAGGCTGCATACAACGAGGGCGACTGTTTTTTCTGCCAGTACTTATCAGTGAGATCAAACGTGTTCAGCTGGCATATTTTTTAATGTAGTTGTGTATCCTGCGATATTTGTTTGAGGAGGAATTTTTTTGCGAGCATTTCCCTAAGGCGATGGAGTGGCGGTTCCAAAGCTTCAACCCTTAGCGTTTCGGCTTTCTTTATTCATCCCGAATTCATCCTTAATTACAAAAATTAAAGAGATTAGATAAGAAAATCCCTGGTTGGTGGAGTATATCACAGCTAGCATGTGGAAAAATTTGATACAGACAGAAACATTTATGAAACGTGAAAAGGTTATTACATTTTACATTATTATTTATCTTCACTCATTAAAACTTAATACTAATTTATTTTGCGATGTCATGTAGAACATTCAAATCAGCGTCTAGATCTGAGGCACTGCGACAAATGATATAGAGAAAAAAATGACTGCCCTGTATTTGCTATTTATCAAGAATGGCTTTGGAGTACAACCACCCTAGGCATGGTTTATTTCTAAGATTAAGTTCAATCCAAAAATAGCCCCCTTGTTATAAACAACCGTGAGCCCTTTTGTGATCGACTCAAAATTGCTTAGCTCTTCAGCTAAGCCTAAGATTGACCAGTTATAACAATTCTGAAACCAGCTTTTCTAATTAAGTGTAGTACCTATTTTGTAGGAAAAACCAGAGAGAACAATCAGTATAGGTGGTGCAGTTTATTTGTCAACATTGAATTGAATACAAATGATACAATACGATGCTACTGACATGAGAAATCCGGAAAAGAAGTTTTGATTAATTTCAAGTAGCCCTCCTGCCAGAAAGCGTGGCGTGAGCCTTTCTGTCGTCAAAGCAAACTTGCTTAGCTCCTCAACCAAGTGACTATCAGTAGTCTCAATTTGTTGTAGGTAGCATGAGATCGTTATTTTCTCTTTCGTTTTGATGATTCCGTCGCATGACGTAACCAAAGCAGTATTATATCCCTGAAATATTTACATTGCCTGAAATTGAATTTAGTTTTACAATAGTTTCTTACCAATATCAAGGTAGTTTGTGCAATAGCCATCAGTATTTTCTCTCCTTTAAAACTTCCATACTTCTTCTCATGCGACCACGTTGTATAGGCTAGTATAGACAAGCAAGAGTTTGCTACAATCAGAAAAGCAATCCATCCAAACAAGTCGTTGAATCTGTCAACCAACCGATAACTCCTAAAGTAATGTCTGCCAATATCTCCAAACTTCTTTCTGGTCATTACTTGACAGCAAAAATGGGTCATTGATGTATCTTTCACCAACATTTGAATGTGGTTATATCGTTTGTGTATCATGCCTAATACCAGATACATGAATGTCACCATGAACAGCTCAATAAACATGAATATTCTGTTACCTGTATAGTAGGTTGCTACAGCTCCGTAGCAAGTTATATCCCAAACGTTAAGTAACACTGCCCAAACAAAGCATAAAATAATCATCGACAGGTAAAAATGTGGATTTATTATATCTCTATGTAAACCTAGGCTCTCATCCGTACCCTCTAAAAACGCAAGCTCTTCGATAAGGCATTTCCATTTCTCTGATTTGAACAAAGCTATGTAAAGGCATACTATAACAAACCAGAACTCAAAAATTCCATGCGTTGTATCCACAAAATTAAAAACGTACTGGTTGGCATTTGTTTCGAGCTTAAGCCTTTTTGATAAGCCGGTTGCTTCCAGCCAGGTGATTGTAAGTATCCACAAGAACGTTGTAACATAACAGACAACTCTTTTGAATTTGCTTCCGTATATCGGAGGTAACCAACCCAGGTATATTCCCGCAACATACTGTCTCCAGATGATACGGCCATCTTTGCAGTTCCTGAATAGGTGCATGTCCATTTTTATAATAAGCGCTTCTCAATAAGTTTACTTAACAACAAGAATTGCGTGACGTTTTTCAAAACAGGTTAATTGATTGCGGATGAATATTTTATTCCACTTCATCCATTTAGGCGAGCTAAATATATTGAAAAAATTCCCAAGCGATGTACCATTAATGGACAAATGGTAATCGATTTAGCTTGATAAATAATAAATACAGCTGCAGATGGAAGTACCGCAGACCAGGCACAATATATGCTAAGAATAAGTTACATGAGTTATATCTAATTTCATAGAATAAATCGGTATTTATTACAGTATTTTCCACAGGAAAGAAGTATATCGATTTCACTTTTCAAAAGCGCAAGACGGGTACTTGTACGAGCCCCTTCCCACTTCAGTTGGCCCAACCATTGAAATCTTAGTTTTTTTCTTATCAAACACAAATAATAAAAATGTAGCAGGGTGTAATAGGTTTAAAATATTAACAATGAATATTTTGATAATATATAGTAGAAAACATCAACTTTATCACTCCCTAATCAAATTTGCAAAACAAGTATTTAAGTGCACTGTACGAGATAATTTTATTTAAGAGGTTATAAGAAATACGTTATTGATAGGAATCTACGATTTGTCATGTCACAGATATTAACCTATATATGATTATTTAAACGAGTTTCGATCAAGCAGGAACTCTAGGGGGGTGATGAGTGATAATATTGAAGCATATGAAGCGATCCTGGAAAGTTGTTCTTCTTGATCATTTAAAGGCTTTTCATTGAATGAATCATAAGTTATTAATTGCGAAACACAAAAGGTACGGATTCGGCATAACATCATATTTAAGTGGAACACATGACACAACAGCTTAACCTTGGTGAGAACTACTCAGAGAAGAGCAGCAACCTTTCAGGAGTTCCTCTATGCCCAATTTTGGGATCTCTCCTTTCCATAATTTATATAGCGGATGTCTTAAAAGTCCCTAAATATTTCAGGCTCTAGGTGTTTAAAGATGGCATGCATTTATATTGTCGCCTTGGAATTTTAAATTATTCCACATCATCAAATAATCTAAAGCAGGAACTCAATTTAATTCCCAACGTTTCGTATCATCACGCATTAAAAATTAATCCAACTAAATCAAAAATCATGTTTTTTTGGTAGAAAAAATCAATATTTCTTTCCTACAGTAAACAATATATATAATTGAGAGCTTGAGATTTGTGATTCTGTCGCAATTTAGGTGTGCTAATGAATAATCATTTGAATGTTGAGGTACATGTAGAAAAATACTATAGAGAGATAGATAGATAGAAGAACACTTATATGGTAGCCGACATTTTCAACCATAATTTAGATAAAAAACGCATTATGTGAACCATTAGTTTTGTCCCATTTCAATTCAAGGTTCAAAATATGTTGTCGCTTTATATATGGCTCGAGAAGGTATGACAGTATATTTCATAAGGTCAATGAAATTCAGTGGTAAATTATGGCAAATAGAAGACTTACATCTGGGTATTTTTTTCAATGATATTATGAATAGTGTATTACAAAAAATCCTCCTCTGGTAGATGCTGGGTGGATTGAGTAGCTCAGTGACTGCCAGTGCCGGTCCCAAGCCCGGATAAAGGAGGAGGGTTGTAGCGGCGGGTTGGCTCCCCGCCCTGTGGAAAAAAAAGCATTGCTAAAAAACCCATACAGCAGCCTCGGAATTCGGACGGATTACACGGAAAACGACAAAAGCAAAGAAAACGGTTAACGAATATTGGATGCTGGAATATACAAGGACTAAACACTAAAGATGATCAAGTATTTAGAGAACTCCACACATACGACATCGACATAGCAGTACTCAGCGAAACAAAGAAGAAAGGACAAGGAAACAGCTACAAAGATGAGAACATATGCTTTTGGAGTGGAGTAGAAAAATCGAAACGGGTCAAAGCTGGTGTAGCTATTGCAATAAAAAAGGTCATGGAGAAGTTCATAATGGACTGGAAACCAGTTGACGAAAGGATCATAACGGTTGACATGAAAATAAAAGGAAGAGAAATTAAAATATTCGGTATCTACGCGCCCACGGACGACTCAGATACAAACACAAAAGACAAATTTTTTGACAAACTCTCTGAGGAATTAGATAAGACGAAAAATAGACAAGAAATAGTCTTGATAGGCGATCTGAACGGAAGAGTGGGCAAAGCTCTTGACAGTAAAATAATTGGACAACACGGAGAGGAAGTAGTCAATGAAAACGGAACCAGATGGATAGAGCTTTGTGAACAACACTCGTTAAGAATCTTAAACGGATTTTACCAACACAAAGACATACACAAATATACTTGGACTCAAAAAACAAAAAACTTGAAATCAATTATTGACTATGTCGTGATTAAGCAGGACACTTCCATAATACCCTATGATGTAAAAGTTTGGAGAGGAGCTGAGTGCGGTTCAGATCACCTGCTAGTAAAAGCACCCATTGAAATTACTTACAATAAACATCTCATATATCAAGAACAAAATAACAATGGAAAACCCACAAAGCGATATAACATAGACAGCTTAAGGGATGAATCCACCAGTTTCCTTTACAAACTACGTTTAGCACAAAAACTGGACGAAGATATTAACGGCAAGGCAGAAGAAATGTACGTAACTTTGAAACACAAAATTCACGAAGCAGCACTAGAAACCCTTGGTGTTAAAGATAGAACGGAACACAAAAATTCTTGGTGGACGGACGATTTAACCCAACTGGTAGAAGAAAAGAAAAACTTATATCTTAAATGGTTAACTACAAAAGACGATGAAGATCGAAAAAGCTGTAATCGTTTTAAATATATAGTGAAAAAAGAAATTAAAAAAATAAAAAACAAAACATGGGAAACCAAATGTGCTGAAATTAGCTCAATGGTAGGAGGATCTAGGTCTAGAGAAGCTTGGCGAACTATAAATGGTCTTAAAACAAACACGAATGAAAGAAGAAAAATAAATCCCATAAAAATAGAACAGTGGAAAGACTACTACAATAAGCTACTGGCAGAACAACGTGGAGAGTATTTAGACACGCAACTAGATATAGATCAAACGGGAGTTAACAGAGTAGATACCATTCAATTAGAAGAAATAAAAACAGCATTACAAAAAATGAAAAATAATGAAGCTCCGGGGGATTTGCCTATCGAGTTAATTAAACACGCCACCACAAGAACGCACGAGCTACTTTGTGTAATTTTTAAAAAGTGCCTGGAAGGGGAAACGATTCCCAGAGATTGGAGGAGCTCGTACATAAATTCCATTTATAAAAAGGGAAACAGGAGTGACTGTAGTAATTATCGGGGTATTAGTATTACATCGTCCATCGGAAAGCTGTACGAAAGAGTCCTAATAGCCCGAATAGAAGACGAAGCCACGGAAATTGAAGAACAAAGTGGATTTCGACCTGGGCGATCCTGTGTCGACAACATATTTACAATAAAACAACTGACAGAAAAGAGATTAGCAAGAGGAATGGAGCTACACGCTACTTTTATAGATCTCCGCAAGGCATTCGACTCCGTCCCTTTGCGGAAATTATGGATCGCAATGAAAGAAGCAGGCATAAATAGCAAATACATAAACGCCGTAAAAGCAATGTATAGAGAAAATCAAGTGGTCGTTAAAGTCGGAAATCAAATTTCTGAGGCTTTCCCACAAACAAAAGGTGTTAAGCAGGGCTCCTGCCTCTCTCCAACCCTGTTTAAAATTTATCTCTGCAGCGCTTTAAAAGAGTGGATAAGAAAGTGCAGCCCCATGGGGATATGGTTAGAGGACTTTCACTTGTATACAATCCTCTTTGCAGATGATCAGGTAGTCTTTGCAGAAGACCAGCAAGACATGACTTACATGATAAGCAAACTTATAGAAGAATTCACTAAATGGGGTTTGGAGATAAATATACAAAAGACACAATACATGACTATAGGAGGCACAGGACATGACATCGAAACAAAAAGCGGAAAAATAGAAAACGTCGGACAGTACCAGTACCTAGGAGTTACAATAGATGAAAGCGGAAAGGATAATAAATACATACTAAGGAAAATAGGAAAAGGAAAAAATATGATTAAAGCACTACATCCGATCTTGTGGAGTAAGAACCTAACAAAGAAAACAAAAAAAATTATATATCAGGCTATGATTCAGCCAGTACTGACGTATGGGTCAGAAGCGTGGGTTGTAGATAAAAATATGTCACAAAAGCTTCTCTCAACCGAAATGATGTACTGGAGAAGATGTTCCGGTTTAACTTTACTTGACCATGTTAGAAATGAGACCATCAGAGAAAGAATGGAAGTCGAAAATACAATAATGGACGACATAACAGAGAGGCAGTTAAAATGGTATGGACACCTGCAACGAATGAACGAAGAAAGGATACCATTAAGGGTTTGGAAATGGACACCAGCACAAAGAAATAAACGAGGAAGACCACGAAGGAAATGGATTTCAAACATCCATACCGCAATGGAAAGTAGAGGACTACATGAAGGAGACTGGAACGATAGGATACGATGGCGTATGGGTTGCGAGAAGCGACCTTAGGTTGCAGAAACTCGCCATATATATATATATATATATATATTACAAAACCGTTTAAAAATAAATTTGAAACAAATTGTAACATACACTTTTTAAATACAAGAAATAAAGATATATTCATTATGTCTAGTCATAAAACCGCATTTCCTAAAAGATCTTTATAAGCAGCGCCGTCAAGTTTTACAACTTTTTGGCCAGTGGTATGATTCACCTCAAAAACATCACTTTTGCATAAACAAAATGAAGATATCCCGTTTCTAGTCTTAAACCAGCTATTACCAGGTTGGTCATTGCACTTGATGAGGTTGACATGTTATTCCTTATATTTTTGTGATTAGTTGTCACTTTTTGTGTAGTGGTTCAAGAATTCCAAATTTGCATTTGATCATGATTTGTAGGTATATCATCTGATTAACAGGTTAACTAAGAATAGCCAGCTGGACTTCGCCTGCATTTTAGATCAGTTTATATTATTTATTTCATTAATCTATCTATAAAAAACTATCCGGCATCACATATATTCTTATACAGGGTGTCCCGAAAAAAGTGTGCAATGTTCTACCAGCGGTTTCTAGAGCTTGAAATAGGAAGAAAAGTTTATATAAACATAGGTCGACAAACGTCCCCTAAGGGCGCTACGGTCTTTTAAAGGGGCTGGTTTTTCCTTAATATTTCCGAAACGTGTTGAAATAAAGACATAAAATTTAGTATTCTAGCCTAGTTTTTTATGCTGGATGCAACAGGGACGGAGTCAGGTTATTTTAGTCCCAAAATTTTTGTGTGATTCTATTTTTGAAATTCAATTTTAGAATTTGAAGATTTAGGGTTTTCTACATAAAAAAGGTACTCTCATTGAATATCGATAAATTGTGCCATTTTTGAATAAAATCAAACTAAAGGATTTGTCACATGATAGGAAATGTACTGCGAATTTAAATGAATTGTTGATTATACATAGTTAGCCATGACTGCAAATAAAAGTTGTTTTGATCTGTTATGACTTACTTGACGTTAAGCTGACATTGTTAGCAGTGTAAAATTACTAGATTAAAATCAAAATTTTTATTAAATCGGTTTAAAATGCCAAGATTTACTGACATGCATTTTGTGTACGGGTTTTGCAATGGCAGTTCAATGGCAGCCGTAAGAGAATATCAAAGAAGATTTCCCAATCGCATAGTACCCGGACGTCGAATGTTTACTGATATTCACCGGAATTTGTCACACCATGGAAGTTTTCAGCGCATGCAAGGCTCAGGAAGGCCACTGGGAAATCATCGTATGGATATTGCTTTAAATATGTTTGAAAATAATCCGCAAATAAGCATACAAAATGTTTCAGAAACTATGAATATACCTCGATCAATAGTAAGAAAAATGTATGAATACCTATTTGATAGTTATCCTAAAAATAATAATTTTAGATAGGGAGAATGACAAGAATGCAAGGATTACATCCTTATCATTTTAAACGGGTGCAGCATGTATCGGAGGCAGATTTTTTACCACGAATCGAGTTTTGCCAGTGGATATTAGCAAATGAAAACATTATTCCTAGAATATTATGGTCGGATGAGTCAATATTTACTAGGAATGGTGCTTTTAATTTCCATAACATGCATCACTGGTCAGACGAAAATCCAAAAGTTGTTCGCCGTACAAATTTCCAACATAGATTTTCATTGAACTTATGGGCAGGAGTAATTTGGGATCAAGTAATTGGGCCTATTGTACTTCCCAATCGTCTTAATTCAGAGGCGTATCTGAACTTTCTTCAGAATGAGCTCATGGATATAATACCATTGGATGTGCGCCAGCAGTTTCAAGAAAATATGTTTTTTCAACATGATGGCGCCCCTGCACATTTTGGACGCAATGTTCGAAATTGGTTGAATTTCAATTTTCCAGACAGGTGGTTAGGCCGAGGAGGTCCTATAGCGTGGCCGCCACGTTCACCTGACCTAAATCCATTGGATTTCCATTGTTGGGGGTCATTAAAAGACCTAGTTTACTCGACTAAAGTAAATACTAAAGAAGATTTACTTCAAAGAATCCATCAGGCTGCAAATGAAATAAGAAGAAAACCCTAAATTTTCAAATTCTGAAATTGAATTTCAAAAATAGAATCATACAAAAATTTTGGGACTAAAATAACCTGAGTCCGTCCCTGTTACATATGCCTTCAAACAAAACTTCTTAAATTGTTAATATTTTTAAATCCAGCATAAAAGACTAGGCTAGAATACCAAATTTTATGTCTTTATCTCAACACGTTTCGGAAATATTAAGGAAAAACCATCTTCAGGGGAGCCCCTTTAAAAGACCGTAGCGCCCTTAGGGGACGTTTGTCGACATATGTTTATATAAACTTTTGTTCCTATTTTAAGCTTTAGAAACCGCTGGTAGAATATTACACACTTTTTTCGGGACCATCTTCATGCGTATTCTCTGGCTCCTTCTACTGCGTTTCCATTTACAAAGCCATACACAAAATGGATATCCGTTAACTCTTGATTGGAGAATAAAAATGGAATTTTTATAAAACTTACAAAAAAAAAACAGGTAAAAGAAACTAAATTTCGTGCATTCACAATTGCAACAAAAAGGTTTCAGGTTTCAACAGACAACAAAACTAACTGTCAACTAATTGACGTTTAACCTTATTCTGCTTTCAATTTCAAAAATATTTGCAGGCACAGCCTACTTCTAAAAATTATCGAGATACTGACTTTTTAACGTTATCTTCCCATAAATAATTAAAAATGCATCGAACCTTAAAAAACGAAATATCTCAAAAATGGCTAACTATAACGAAAACTCACAAGAGAGCTTTTTTATGTTGAAAAGAGCGAAGAATCAGTTTTTTTATTCAAAAAGCAAAAAATTGCACTAAGAAAATTTTTTCGGTCATTTCAATACACTACAGGTACAGTAGAGAGCGCCCTCTAGCGGCTACAGTAAATCTATGCCCATGGTTCGTTTTGTCGTACCAAAAAACCCTTGTATACTAATTTTCACTGTTATACATCAAATATTGTTCGAAATATTTAAAAAAAACTATTTTAAAAGGAAATTTAAACACCCTGTATTTCGGAAGCCACGCATTTTTCGACCCATGTTTAAATAGAATTTATGCATTGATTTTAAAAGTTCTATCGAATCTTAAAGTAATGCAACAATAAACTGAAACACCCTGTATGTGCATATTCAAATGCAACAGGTGCCTTGGAACTTGCTTCATGAAATTTGTTTCATAGAACGGACTTCTCCGCGGTTTCTATAGTGTGCATTGCGCCTTAGCCGGTGGCAATGAAAACAGTTAAATGCCGGCATTCCAAATCTCCCACCAACGTTATATCTAGACATAATTGTTGGTTTGTAGATGATTGTTCATATCTTTACCTAGACCAATCTGAAACGCATCAGTACCAAACAAGCTATTCTCGTTGTTTCAGATATCGGATGTTAGTCAATTCCAGCATCTGTAGAACAATTAATGTTGATATTAAACAAGAGTTATTACACAGACTTTTCTCATCTGAGGATTCATCACGAGACTATGTAACCTCTGCACTTTTCCTATAATTCACTAGTTATCCTTAGCAGGTATCTGTATTTTAAGCAAATTGCATTCGTAATGCATTCAATCAACAACTGTAGAACCATGGTCAACACAGTGTCTGTTGTGCTGCTACTGTTATGTGCATTTTATTGTGCTTTGGTAGACCCACAGTCAGGGGGATTCACGTTTTCGTAAGTACCTGGTATTTACGGGTTCGATGGTGAAGAAGTTAGTAGTTTCTAAGCTGTAGTCTAAGTGAGGCATTTTTATTGTTGCATCTTTAACAGTCAAAAGGATGTTTCAAGCTCTCTGCAATTTTTCCCGCGAGAAGAATCATCTAGGAAAAGCTGCGGTATTAAGAAGTATTATGTCGCGCGGGTATCACGTATCTTGAAAAGTGATATTATGCCGATTTTTTTTGACATTATGCTGTTTTTTTGACATTATTTAGGTTAGTCTACAAGATGTTAACTTAGCACTTAGTTGTACGTGTCGCCTAAAGGTCATGAGGCTTGTTATCAACCTTTGGCTTTGATGTGATGTAAAATTTGCTTCTGAGATGGCATTACTGGAGGTCTAAGCTGTAAGTTGTATGTGTTGATGATAATTACATTGGGTTTTTGTCTCAAATACAATTAATTGAGATTGAAAGCTAGAAATACGTATCGCATCCACTTTTTCTTACGGGCCGTTCAAGTATTATCTAAGCAGATTTATTACAATTATTTACCCCCCATTCCCCTTGTCAGCAAAAGTAAGCAAAGCTCTGACCCCCACCCTCCAACATTATAGCCATCAATTTCCATTGAACTCCATACTTCAGCTAATACATTTCCTGCAAATTCGAAATTAGATCTTTCTAAATGTTCATCAATTGTAACGCCACGTTCATCCTAATGAGACCCAAAATGGTCATGAAGCAATATTAAACCAGCCAGTTCCAGACTAAGAGGAGCCATTCTGCGCTCTACTCTACAATTTTATTCTATACGTATATTCCATGTGAATTAGAAGAGGTGCTTGCTTATTTGCCGCAGTTACGCCAATAAGGACTCGAGCTTTATCATCTTGAGATATGAAAAATACTTGATTTGGTCCAAGTATGGATGCTATGTTCTCTAAATAATGGATTGATGTTTCAGCGAACTTGCTATCTAAGTGCTATCTAAGTTTGAGCACGAATGAGCTTAACAGGGACTGTCGATACATGTCTTCGTCCCTCTGCAGAATTAGATTTTCTGGGAATCAAACGAAGATATGTCTCACTGCGACTAATGTCAAATCCCATTTTACGTAATCCTTGTGTGAGTTCCGTCCGTCTTTTATCATCTGCTCCACTCCCAAGTAAAGCTATATCCGCGATTGTTTTCAATAGTGAATGTTGATTGCTTTCAAGATTAGGACGTCCCACTGAATCCCTCAGAGATAGTCTTTTTTTATTTCTGGATTTTCATGACAAATATCTTCTAACTGTCTTTTCATACCATCTCTGTGTTTCTTGTGGGCCACTGAGTTTTGAACCTTCCTGTTTAAAGACTGTTTTGCTGTTTTTATTTCCTCGCGCAACTTAATGATCTGTTTATCAACTTCAGCACGGCTTGGCATAGTATCTCTGGCAGAATATAAATCATTCAGATTTTTTTTGAGTAGAATCTTATTTTTCATAGCTTTGCTCTCTGTTTATCTGTATTTTCATTAATTTCGCATTGCTGTTGTGATTCATTACCGGGTTTTATTCTATCTATCTTCTTCTTCCTCTTTTTTAATATTTGAAGCTGACTGTATAATTTGTGTTTTTTTCTGCAGGTTCACAGGTTGCCTAAAAAGAAACAATTTCTATGGCTTCAGCTAAAGATTCGCTTACTAAGCTACATAAATACAAAGTATGGCAATATATAATGGTAAATACAAAACCCTATGGCTTTAAATCTAATATGTTGAAACGAGCAATTCGTTCCGGTCACAAAATACAGGGTGTTAGTTTTCTGTATATATGTATAAAACTACCATCCTGTTCTTTGTGACCAATTGACGGAATCAATCATAAGAAATAAATCTATAATATAATGAATATTACCTCTATACTTATATCGTCCATACTATTTTCTAATCAGTAAAGAGAAACTTTTTGGCGATGTCTAATATTTCTAGTACTCATCGGTACCTAAAATGATTTCGTCACTCACCTTAGAAAAAAAATTTAGTAGATTGGATTTATTCTTAGTCGCCGCTTGCAATTCTTCCATTCTCTTAGATACAATAATATTGTCGGATTTTGCTTGAAATTTGTAATTTCGCCACACTTCGTTAACTAACTTTTGCACATTTTGTACTTTCGTACTTGTATGAGATTTTTTAAAACTTTCAAACAATTTTTGGTATAACTTGGATTTGTCTATGTGAAACGACATCTTATTTAAACATTAAACTTTGGTTAATGGAATCAATGGTAACACAAATGTTAACTTGCTTTACTATGCTTACAATACGTCTACTCGCTATAGTATCCAAATGAAACAATACACTGATAGAGGAAATTTAGACAAGTGAACACCGCGCGGTTATTCCCCTACTCGGTTCTAAAGCGAGTAGGGGAATTACCGCGCGCTGTGCACTAAACGTATGCATTATTTGCGGGAATCCCCGAAAATGCGTTTCGTTTTCAAGCAAAGGACAATGTGAGGGTTGCCGTTCGTGTAAAAACGTAAATAACTGCCGATGACGTAATCATCATCTAGACTCCCCTGCCCTCCAAGTCAAAATAAGCAAAGCAAAGAACCCCCCGCCCCCCCCCCATAGTGCTCACGTAATACTTGAACGGCCCCTTATCCATTCTGGAAATTACATATACAAATTTGCTGAATTTCAAAAATGAGAGAGATAAGAAGTAATTATATTCACTGTATACTGCCGAATTACAAGCCATATACATGCTAACAGTAATTACACACAACGCGGGCGCGGTGCTGATTCCCGTAATTCTCCTCAGTTTTTCGTAATTTATAACTTTGAACATAACCTCTCTTCAGAGAGCACAACATATAAATAACCCTTCATATTCGGCATTTTCAGTAATGATTTTCTCACACAGCAAATATCACTGATTTTTAACTCATGCAGACCAATACACATAATCGTCTAGATGCGATCTTACTACTCAACCAACTTTCTTCTCAGAGATAAAAACTACAGCCTCACAAAGTTATGCAACCAATAATGCATAGTTTAGTTGAGGGATTCCTCCACAGATGGACGTTTACAACGATCATAGTGAGCAAACGTGGAATGACTGTTTGCGAACTAAAAAAACTACCTAGTCTGCAAGTTGATATTTTATAGGTTTTTTTTTGACGTTTTATAGGTTTTTTACATGATACCCGTGCGTCTTAACGCAAACATTTTGAGCTTTAGCTACACCTTTTGTCACTTGTTCTCAAAAAAAGGAAAACACCCAAAACATATTGTTGCAGGCAAAATATTATGTCATGGTTTTTTTTTAAACATAACTCAAACATTTTGATACTATAATAACGGTTTACGCAGTGTGTTTGGCGGACTAGAAGGACTGCGAGAAAAAAACGTCATTTGTCATCTATTTGAAGTAAATTGTCAGAACGTACAGTCTACATAGTGTTTACAAAGTATGGAACAAACATTGAAGGAGTTTCTTTGGACTTTTAACACATAAAAATGTTTTGTTCAAGATTAATATTAGAATAGTTATTTTTAATTAATTTTTTTGACCTCCTTCCTAAGATAGATTGATTCCGAAGATACAAGACGGAGGGGACATCTGAAAATCAAGTTTTAACTACAAAAACTGATTCAATTTTCAAAACTTTTCAAAAATACTTCAAACTGAGTTTTAAACAGACAAGGGTTGCATCCTACTGAGTTATGTATAACAATTACACAGCCTCACCCAAAATAAGAAAAATCCGGGATTGCAGTTTCTAGATGTCTTTAGTTTACCCCCTGGCCCAAAAACTGCCCATAGGAGGATTGAAAATTGAGTTTCGCATACTAGATACTGGAGCATGGTATTACCATGCTATTTTCGACAATAAAATCGAATTTGGGCTCAATGGAAAAAGGGCAGAAAATTTGAGTTTCGACGCCAGATCACGGTATGCTATGCATTCTCTAACGCTGAATCGGTATTTGAGATTAAGAAAATCCACCTCCGTTGAATTCACTTCTGGCGTCAAAGCTACCTGTAATAACGGGTGAAAAATGGGATTCGGGTGATGTCTGCTAAACTGTTGTATCGTTGTACTCGCATTTCGGCATTCTGATGCATTTTTTCCGTAGTACCTGCACTCCGAGTGTTTGAAATTTTCGTTGACCCCAATTTCGGATTCAGCATCGAAAAACACATGGGAATACCACGTTCAAGCATCTGGTATCGGAACTCAATATTCACCTCTCGTAGGGATAGTTTTTGAGCTTGGTGAGATCGAGATGTAGGGGACTTTTTGAAATTTGGATTAAGCATCGAAAAATACATACGAACCCTGTGCTCCAACATCTGGCATCCAAAACTCAATTTTTACCCCCTAGGGGTGGCTTTTGGGACTGGGGTGAGTTCTTCCTTGATGCGGATCCAGCGCTGATTTGTCTCAAGGGTTTAGACCTTCCTTTTTTTGTGGGATTGTGTTACTCCACATTTCACTTCACTTTGTATGGGTTCAAGTCCGGAAATCGATGACTCCATAAGTCAGGTCCTGCTCAAGCCTTCCAACGATCTACGTAATGATTATGATGGAAACTCATAAGCAATCTTGCTGTCTGTAGTGTTGTATTCTAGCTGAACCTAGTATTTTTTTAGTTTTTAGGTGTGAAAGAGCTTCAAATCTAAAATTTAATAATGAAAAAGCTTTTTTCTAAACATTTTGCGCTCTATGTATGGGTACTTCTCAACAAATTTAGAAATTTCGTTTTGCATTTCTTAAAAAAAAATAATGAAAATATATCCTTTTTTTGCAGAAATATAGTTTCACTTTAGTGAGGTTCATCGATAATCAAGGTCCTCAATATTTTTTTATATAACATGTAGAAAAATGACATATAAAAAACTATGAAATGAGGGAATGGCTGATAGGATAAGGGAATGATTTTTACAACAATTTGATACTGAATTTCAATTAAAAACATAAGTTAATTTATTAGTAGATATACTGAGATTCGTTTTATACTTTAGAGAGCTTAGATAGTGATTCTTCCCTGGCCACTTCATCGTATTTTCATCCTTCTCTGAGAAATGAACAACATCACCCTTAACTTTCAGCATTTTGGAGCTAACTTTACGAGTACAGTTCTTTTTGTAAGTATCGTTTTTGAAAAAATGCCTCGATATATATAGCAATTTGTATCTTTTGTACTAATTGCAGCTTCGAAATTTTGTAATATTTTTTCTTTTCTCCATGTTCACTTCCAAGATCCTTACAGATATTCTTAAGGTCCGTTGACTGTGCTTCTCGGAAAATTAGTCCTTTTCTTACAACGTCAGGATCTTGTATATTATTTAAAAGCGGAGACACTTTAGTTGGTGGAGAGCTGGGTCAGTATTTTTGGTTTTTAATAGATTTTTTTATTCAGGGTGTTTCAGTTTATTGTTGCATAACTTTAAGATTCGATAGAACTTTTAAAATTAATGCATAAGGTCTATATAAACATGGGTCGAAAAATGCGTGGCTTCCGAAATACAGGGTGTTTAAATTTACTTTCTAAAATAGTTTTTTTTTTAAATATTTCGAACAATATTTGATTTATAACAGTGAAAATTGGTATACAAGGGTTTTTTGGTACGACAAAACGAACCATAGTTTTACTGTAACCGCTAGAGGGCGCTCTCTACTGTACCTGTAGTGTATTAAAATGACCGACATTTTTTTCTTAGTGCAATTTTTTGCTTTTTGAATAAAAAACTGACTCTTTGCACTTTTCAACATAAAAAAGCTCTCTTGTGAATTTTCGTTATAGTTAGGTGTTTTTGAGATATTTCGATTTTTAAGGTTTGATGCATTTATAATTATTTATGATAAAATAACGTTAAAAGGTCAGTAACTCGATAATTTTTAGAAGTAGGCTGTGCCTGCAAATATTTTTGAAATTGAAAGCAGAATAAGGTTAAACGTCAATTAGTTGACAGATAGTTTTGTTGTCTGTTGAAACCTGAAACGTTTTTTTGCAATTGTGAATGCACGAAATTTAGTTTCTTTTACCTTTTTTTTGTAAGTTTTATAAAAATGCCATTTATATTCTCCAATCAAGAGCGGATATTCATTTTGTGTATGGCTTTGTAAATGGAAACGCAGCAGAAGCAGCCAGAGAATACGCACGAAGATTTCCAAACAGACGACATCCAACTCGCTCAGTATTTGTAAGAGTGCATCGCCAAATAATTGAAAATGGTTTTGGAAATCTCCAAAGGGATCAAAACAAAAATGTTCGTCAGCGCAAATTTACCCGTACGATTCTGCGTGAGTTTGATAGAGATCCGACCACAAGTGTTAGGAGAGTTTCTGGTGCCTTGGGAATTTAAGCAAGCCATGCTCACCGTGTACTTAGAAATGACCATAGACGTCCTTACCGTTTGCAACGTGTGCAAGGACTACAGCCAGGGGATGGAGAACGAAGAATCACATTTTGTCAGTAGATTCTTGATAGAACTGATAATAATAATTTGGTCGCATGAAAATCCGCATGCAGTTCGGGAAAGAAATGTTCAGCATGAATTTAGTGTGAACGTGTGGATTGGTATCTACCGTAATCGACTATTTGGACCCTACCTTTTGCCTGCAAGGTTAAATGCTGCGACCTTCTTGGAATTTTTAAAGGCTGAACATGCAAATATGTGGGATGATGTTATGTTAGATTTAAGAAGATTGCCCTGGTTTCAGCTTGATGGTTATCCAGCTCATTGTTCGAGAATAGTTAGAAACTGGCTGGACGAAAACTATCCAGAAAGATGGATCGGCAGTGGAGGATCAGTCGCCTGGCCTCCACGATCCCCTGACCACCACAAGAGATATGCTAATAGACAGAATCAGGAATGCATGTGATGGAATAAGGCTTTATTTGAATAATGCTATACCACGTTCGATCAGTCGTAGATGTGAATTGTGTATTGAACAATTGGGTTTACATTTCGAGCAAGTACTTTAGATTTTGTATGTTTGTCCTAACTATCCAACAGCATTTTAGTTGTAAATAATTAATTTAATTTGTTAAAAATAATATTGGAAAATTAAACAAATTAATATTCTGTTTTTTTGTGTTTATTTGGACTTAGGAGTTATTGCTGTATTAAAAAACACAATCTAAACGATCATCTTAATGACTTGTAATAGCCAAATCGAAAATGTAAAAAAAAATATTATTTTCCCATAAATAATTAAAAATGTATCGAACCTTAAAAATCGAAATATCTCAAAAATGGCTAACTATAACGAAAACTCACAGGAGAGCTTTTTTATGTTGAAAAGAGCGTGGAGTCAGTTTTTTTATTCAAAAAGCAAAAAATTGCACTAAGAAACAATTTTCGGTCATTTTAATACACTACAGGTACAGTAGAGAGCGCCCTCTAGCGGCTATAGTAAAACTATGCCCATGGTTCGTTTTGTCGTACCAAAAAACCCTTGTATACCAATTTTCACTGTTATATATCAAATATTGTTCGAAATATTTGAAAAAAACTATTTTAGAAAGTAAATTTACACACCCTGTATTTCGGAAGCCACGCATTTTTCGACCCATGTTTATATAGACTTTATGCATTAATTTTAAAAGTTCTATCGAATCTTGAAGTTATGCAACAATAAACTGAAACACCCTGTATACATATTTATTCTTTAGCAATGAAATCTTGAGTATACAATCCATGCTTATTACAAAACATTTTAGTAAAATTCAATTTATAAGAATATGAACAGATTTGATTGTATATATTTTTTTATTATTAATTTCAGACCCAGGGACGAGCTGAAGGAATGACTTTTAGACTAACAAATTAATCGTTTTCTTTGTGTCAATATTTTATCTAAATTTTTGCTTTTAAAATATTAGTATAGACAGTTATTGATATATTAACAATGTTAAACTGACGATAAATCAATGCAACAATCAATGGCTCAGGACATGAATTTCGAAATTTTCTGAGAAATACCCGTATATTAGAAAATGAGGTAATTATCAAAAATCATCCAAGGAACAGGCTAAGTAATCGCCATTTGAATTTTTGTCCCATGTTTTTTTTAGGTACCTTAATATTGTGTTAATGTAGTTACTTTTATATTATATCTATATCAATCTCTAGGTTAACAAGTTTATCTTTTAGAATCTACAGGGATGCATCTAAAATTTCTGGTACAAAGTTCCGCCACTTATACATGCGTTATTTCTCATTTGCAGTTTCGAGACTGAAAATGGCATCAAGCGAGCGTTCGTGACTGGCTCCGCAAACTTTCACGGAGTCTACATTTACAATACTAAGGATGGTGCGAGACATGTAGTACACTTTGGAGGCAGTGAACGAGAAAGCGGTCCTTTTGTAACCTTAAGTGGGCCAACAACATCACGACCAGTGGGTCCACCAGTACCCTATTATCCGACTGTAGCATCGGCTACACGTGTACCCGCACCAGCTCCTGTACCAGGTCCCGCTCCTGCTCCAGCACCTTCGCCTGCGCCTACGCCTACGCCTACACCTACGCCTGCCCCCGAGTACGGAGGTTACCCTGTGGCTCCAGGTTACGCATGTAAGTTGTTACTTGAAAATGTTTATATGTGCAATTTACTGTATAGACAAATGTTTCCGTGCAGTTTGATCGAAATCCACGACTTAGTTTCAGACATAATTACATAGGGTCTTATGCGAAACATGATATTTTCAAGAATTAAGTTCAATTTTCACCAGGAAGAATATTACGTAAATCTTAAAAAAGTATCGTCTTAAATGCATTAGATGCATTTAATCGTGAAGTATTATAATCGCGAAAAAAATCTAAAACGAAATTATGTTCTTGTAAGTTATATGGCATGTGTATCACGGAAAACCAAATCACTCAGTTCCGTTTTTCTGTTCGTTTGTAGGTATGTCTATCTACAGTGGCGGCTCGTGGCAAAAATTACCTATTTTTTAAATGTCAGTTCGATCCTGCGCTCCTTCTTGGGAGTAAATTTGTTGATCACCTTCCCGTTGAAATTTTCCATGGTCCAAATAAATTCATTTTGGATGGATAGCATCGACAACGCTGTAAGGTGATCCTGAGACATAGTATTTCCAAGAAAGGTCTTGATTCTTCTCAATGTTAATATATATATATATATATATATATATATATATATAGGAAAATAGGAAAATAATGGGCAAAATCCGCAAAAAGTGGATTCGAGCAGAAACTAGGATAGGTAACCCGAGCGATACGTATTTCTGCTGGTTGGCTTCATCAGGCCCGAAATGAATGCACATATGCAACTACAAAAGTAGAGACACATGCCCATACATCCGGATACGGGTGTAACCCGAGGAAACAAAGATGGAGAGGAAAAAAAAAGACACACGAAGTCCTCTCCATCTTTGTAGTTGCATATGTGCCTTCATTTTGGGCCTGATGAAGCCAAATAGCAGAAATACGTATCGCTCGGGTTACCTATCCTATTTTCTGCTCGAATCCACTTTTTGCGGATTTTGCCCATTATTTTCCTATTTTTGTTATATACCTTTCACCGCATGATAATTTTCTCTTTATACATATATATACACTTCGAAGTTGAGTCATTTATTTTAACAGTGAGTAGATCTGATCAAAAGAAATGTTTTTTTCCTTTACCATTTTTCTGGTAAAATTAAAGTAATAAAGTTATAGCCCTTTGGAAGTTTGAGTACCGCCCTGTCTCAATAATAATATTATGTGCTCGTGTTTGGCAACAACGGATATAATCCGCCTTATCGGTTCATCGCATCGGAAACAAAAACGCGAAAGAATTTGGAACGATGTTTTTACAATTATTTTATTCAGTTGTATACAGTCAGTGTCAGTCGGTAACGCGTGAGTGAATGGTGGTGTCTGTTGCGTGGCTCAAACGAAATCAAAAATGGCACATGTTTACGAAAATGCTGAACTTGTGGACATGATTCTTATTTACGCGGCATCACGGATTTATGCGGATCGGTTTCCCAATCGAGTGCAACCAACCCCTCGTGCCTTTGTTAATGTAGTACAAAGGGCTCGTGAATCAGGTGACTTAAGACCTCACAGGGGAGGGCATGCCGGTGCTCCAAGACCGCACGATCAAATACAGGTCCGCACTGAAATACTTGCCGGGAGGATACTTTATAAAACAAGGTAACATTTTTTTTATTTTTTTTTTTATTTTTACACACATATTTTGGTTTATCTTCCTTCTACAATCATTATCTGAAAATTAATGACTCAACTTCAAAGTCACCCTGTATAAATATAATAAATAACAGACAACTCTGTCTGTAAACGACTTTTGTTCTAATTCGGGACAAGCCAAGCAGGTAGTTTGTAACTTGTTATCAGGAAACTTACCACAGTATTCTCCAAAGTGTTCGGGAAAAAAAAGGGATGCGGCTACCAAATCATCTTTGAATTGAAATCTGTCATTTGCAGACTTCACTATATTGTCGCATACTTCTAATGCGGCAACTCGGTGATCGTGACTGCTATTATTACGTCGTGTCCTTTTGTTGCCCTGGGGATAAGTGCAAATACTTTTGGCTCCATTTATTATGTCATCAATTTTGTTTCTCACATCGACAATACATTTTTCAAAATTATCGATAGCCGTTTTAACTTGCGCTGGCTCGGTTTTTCTCTTCTGCAACCGGTTGAACAAGATGTCGACATGAGGCATGACATGATGAAAAAATGTCAACCATAACACGAAAACAGCATCGTTTAACATACGGCGAATACCGCAAGCTGCCTTGCAAACGGTTTCATTAGTGAAATTTTCTTCTACTTCTTCCATGCATTCAATGAATGATTCTCTGTTCTCAAACACTACATTTATTGTTCGAATATTAAAATTCCAACGAGTTGTTGCTCCTTGGGGAATTTTTTTCCCCACAATTCTGTTCAGTACCTCTACGCGTTGAGGAGAATTATTAAAAAATCCTGGAATATCTTTCACATCCCCATAGAACACCCGAATTTGAGCATTTGCGGAAGCGGCTTGGGGCATAATCAGGTTTAACTGATGCGCACAGCAACGCACGTAGTGAGCAAATAGATATCTTTGTTTAATTTTTGCCTGTACTCCATCCAGCATTATGTCCGCTCATTACCGCGGCTCCATCATAGCTTTGTGAAATCAGTTTGTTAGGGAAATTTCCTATTAATGGATCTACGATGCTCAATATGTCTTTTGAGAGTATCAGCGTCACATTTTTCGGGATTCATATAATTCCAAAAACGTTCTACTGGTTCGCCGTTAAATACGTATCTGAAAATTGTGACCAGTTGGGTTTTTCCCGAAATGTCCGTTGTTTCATCTGCTATTATCCCCAAATACGAGGCTCTGCTAATCTGTCTTATTATTTCTTCATGACAAACTTCAAGAATGTAATCCAGTAGATCGTTTTGTATTTCTTTCGAAGTTCCTTTAAATATTGAAGCATTTTTTATGTGTTCGCATAATGTTGAATCAAGCTCAGCAGAAAAATTAATCAGTCCACGAAAGAGGAGAAAGAGTCTACTACTGCGGCCATCGCTGCTGCCGGCTAGTGAGTGAACCATTTGGAAAGTAAGATCTGAATCAATAAAACCTTTCATTTAAAATTTTTAAGGGAAAGGCCCAGGAGGGCTGAAGGTGAAAGAGGGTGAAGTACTTTTTGGTTCTTTTGACGTGTCTCGGCGTTTTTTCTTTTAATCAATGGTCCTCGATAAATCCGTCGTGTTAATTTTCCAAACGAACATCCTGTATATGCGTCTCTTCCGATCAAAGCTGCTGCAAGAGATGAAATATTAACTAGCTCCAACAATTTCAGCATATGGAGGAAGATTTGGAGAAACAGGAGGACGTGGAGGAGGATATGGCGGAGGACATGGCGGAGTATATGGCGGAGGATATGGCGCACGTACTCAATCCATCGCTCCTGGTCTAGTAGCATCTGCGGTTGGAGGTGGTCTCGGATAGCAGATGAGAAAAAATCTTGTAACATGGTTACAATAAAAATCTCTCGGACTGATTTCATCCAGTGAAACAGACAATAAAAATGAGCAAATATGTTTGTACATAGAGGTTAGGATTCACGTGAATAATTGTAACTGCGTCCTTGTGATGCAACCTTCGGTATGAGATAGTCGATTCAGTACAGAAGTTTTCTTTCAGCCCCATCCCTCTCTCGACCTATTTTTTTCTACCGGAGTTTAGTCAGCCATATGCTTTAGTCAGTCCAAGATGTGTATGTGCACCAACAAAGTTGCATGTCTGGGCACAAGATGTCCACTTGGCAGGATCGGAGGATATCAGCATCGACAATTCTCGTACGCAGAGGAGAAATTTAATTGTTTATCGAGTATGTGACAGTCAAGAGATAAATAATAATAATAGCTTTATTACTCAACAGCTAACCATTTACAGGGTAATTAAGAGAAGTTCTAAATTATTACATGCCTAACTACGAAAAACAAATTAAATGTGTATTACAGCTTGACCCACAAGCTCCTTTAACATACAAATAAAAATTTCACAGTAAGTAGATATTCTGTTATAGTTGCTACACATGCTACATGAATGGGCGACTTAACTAAGATATAAGTTCTTGGCCTACTACACCTGAAAGACCTACTACTGATCCTAGGTACATTGAAATTGAGTAAACGTAAGATTAAAGAGCAATCTATGGTGTTATGTAATAATTTATACAGTATGGGAAAAACCATTATTATACATTATGATGAGGAAGAGAGATGGAAATATACAAAAGTATGTAGGTGCGTGAAGGACACACGATTGTAGGATCGTATCTGGCAGCGTCGGAGTGTGACGGACAACACGGTAAAGTAGAAGAGTGATAAAAGAGAGAGATGGCAGAACGGGCGCTGGCGCCTACCGCTTAGACGGATGCGCTCAACAAATGCGATTTGTTTCTCCCATTCGCAGAGTTGCCGATACCAATATGTCATATTTCTAAGAAATCTAAGTCTACCCAAATTTCGGGAAAAATAGCTGCGGATTCTACATAAGAGTATTCCAAAAATGAAAAAAGTTCAAACTAGTAAAATTGTATTAATGTTTCATGGTTCAAATCATATTTTTCATGTTTGTATATTGTTGTATAAATGATTTTGTAATCCCTATTCTTGTTGCCAGTAGAGATACAACAGTATTGAGAGAAATCATGGACCGCTAGATAGGGCTACAACTACCATATGACTATCAAATAGTAGTGACAAATAGGGTTTGTTTATAGCACAGTTGCCTGGTGTGGAGAATTTGCGCCATAGGGGCGAATTGACAACTTTGAAGGACAACTATAACGGTTACTATGGTGCCCGGTATTCGGGAATCTGGCAATACCTGATTCCTAACGTTTATTATGCCAGATTGTTTGCTGACTTGCGCAGTACAACATGACAATCAACGTGGCTGAGCACCTGGTAACCCTGGTTTAAGGTGTTATATTTAAAGAGCTTGGGGCAGTTAGGTATCTAGGTCACATTTTTTAATGTATTTCGAGAAATCCGTAATGTTGAGTAAATACTAGATCACGTTTCTTGCTTAGTTTGCTGAAAATTCTACAATAGACGTACATTTTGAGAAACAGAGATTTGGTGACGACAAAATCGTAAAAATATAACGCATCTTCGTAAAATAATTTCTTTGTTGAAAAGATTGTGGCTTGATGACCCATTGAACGAGTATAGTGTCCCGCTCCGCTTTAAATATTCGAAACACTATACTCCAGCAGCATTCAGCTTCAATGTTATCTTTATGAAGTTCTAACGTCTAGGCCATGCTGATTAAAAGCTTGAATGAATCAACACTTAACTCTAAATTCCCCACAATTCGGGAAGCTCTACTCAAATTGGCAACACAGCGTATCTGCCTATTATTCTCATTCGTGATACAGGTCTGCGGTTAACGGTAGGAAATATGTACGAATAGCGATGAAAGTAGACGAGCCGATGCTCTGTTGCCAAGAAATGATTTCCCATGTATAACAATGGTTTTTCCTGAGGTGTATAGAAATGAAAGAGATGCAGTACTCCGCCTTAGTTGCAAACTATCTTGATCAAATCTACTACATAAGATTTCATAGTCAATGCCCGTTCAGGATAAGGTCCATCTACGAGCCCCTTCCCACTTCAGTTGGCCCAACTATTGAAATCTTAGTTTTTTGCTTATCAAACACAAATAATAAAAATGTAGCAGGGTGTTAGAGGTTTAAAATATTAACAATGAATATTTTGATGATATATAGTAGAAAACACCAACTTTATCACTCCCTAATCAAATTTGCAGCATAAAAATAACACATGTTGCAATTACAGCATATCAACCTATTTTCATTTCAATGCAAAATAAGTCTATAACGCATAGGTGGCTGTGAAAAATAAAAGCCATGACAATTGTTTCTATTAATCACAGCTGTCAGAATACGTTTAAAATAGTTTTGGGTAGTTAAGGTTTTCAAAATGGGTAGAGGAAAGGTTATTAGTGAGAAAATTCGGTTACTGATAATTAAATTTTTTAATTCTGGTAAATCAAAATCAGAAATTTCAACTTTGTTAGACTTGTCACGGTACGGTGTGAGAAATATTGTTAGAAGATATAACGTAACTGGTTCAGCTAATATTAAGCCACGATATGTGAAAAAAAGTAATATCACAAATGCCGACCGAAGAGCATTAAGAAGAATAATCGTAAAAAACAGGCGTGCCAATTATTTACAGTTGAGTGCTCTGTGGAGTGATGCTGTTGGAAGGAGAATTTCGAGGTCCACAACTCATATAGAGGCCCACAAACTGGCATTTAGCACTTGCAAGGTAAGTTTTCTTATAAAAAAAGTGCAGTAATAACCCTAAAATGGCACAACTTGTTTATATGCCAAAGAAAAGTCACTATTAACTCCACTGCAAAAGAAAAATCGGCTTAGATGGGCTAAAGAACATAGACAATGGACACCTCAACAATGGTGTGCAATACAATGGAGTGATGAGGCCCGATTCGAAGTCTGTGTTGGTGACAGTCGCAGTACAGTTATTCGCAAAAAAAATGAAGCATTCCATGTTGACTGTCTGAAGAGAAAAGTGAAATGTCCACCATCCATTGTGGTCTGGGGCAGTATGTCATCAAAATGAGTAGGAAAACTTCATTTTATTCATGGAAATGCGGATACAAACAAATGTTTGGCAATTTTAGAAGAATCGCTTTTACCAGTGATGGAAGAATGTTTGACATCCGGCCAAGATTTTGTGTTTCAGCAAGATGGTGCAGCGTGCCATACCTCAAAAAACGCTATACAATGGATGGAAGAAAATAATGTACCACTTTTGAAATGGGTATCTAGCAGTCCAGTTCTGTCACCTATTGAAGCTTTGTGGCACGAGATGAAAAAGGTTCTACGACAACATCCTGCTCGTACAATCACCGAACTGAGACAAAAGCTTCAAGAAATATGAGATTGTTTTACACCAAATTTTTGCCAAAACTTGGTTAACACTAAGCTCCAAAGAATTTCAGCCGTAATAAAAAATAAAGGTGATGTTACCCAATGGTAATCTTTCAATTGTTGCTTTGTTAATTTCGCGCATTTATTCGCACATTGCTTATTTGTTCAGATGTTCTATTAGTTATAGGTCTAAGTGATTTCAAATATGTATTTTTTACGACTAGAGTGTATCTAGAATGTGTTTGAGAAAACAAATTGTTTTAGAAGTAAATAGTTTCGTCATGTTTAGCTTATAAAGGCATATGTTGGTACAAATCTTGAAGTGGGCCAACTGAAGTGGGAAGGGGCTCGTATTTTGAAAGGCAAATATTTTAATGCTTTGCGTTGAACCCTTTCGATCGCAGTGGTGTAGCATTCATATAAAGGATTCCATATAACACAACCATATTCCAGCTTCGGTCGTACAAGCGAGTTGAACAAAATTTTAATGACATTCGATATTTGGAAAGCTCCTGCATGTCCGCACAATAAACCCATACAGTTTCAAGGACTCAGACATTTTTTGATCTACATGTTCTTCAAATATTAATTTCCAATCAAAAATTATCCCCAGGTCCTTGCAAGTAGCTGCTCTTTGAATTTCACAATTATCTATAATATACTTGTAATTTACAACAGTGCTTTTTCTGCTGTATGAGATGACCTTACACTTTTGAGCATTGAGGTAATGTTCATTTTCACTATACCAGTTTTCAATAACAGCCAAGTTATTTTGAAGTAAGTTGCAATCATCAACCGCATTAATTCTTGAAAACATTTTGATATCATCCGCAAAACATAACACCTTGCTATCAACCGTCGCTAGTAAGTCATTAATACGAGTATATATAAAATGATACGAAACAAACTGAAACCTATCCGTCAGGTACAAATTAACGAGATGCATAAGCTTATCAGAAAATCCAAAATTAGCAAGCTTTGGTAATAGCTTTTTATGAGAGACTTTGCGAAATGCTTTCCAGAAGTCAGTGTAGATAACATCTACTTTTCCCTGACCATCCAACACTTCCGAGATGAATTGTACAATAAGAAATAGTTGACTGTAGATCGCTTATCTATAAAGCCATGTTCATTCTATTCTAAATGGTAATCTCAAACACCTTTTAAAAGTTGCAAAGAATGCATACAGGTCTATAGTTTTCAATAATGGATTTATCTCCGTCTTTAAATATAGGGCAAATTCTGGCATGTTTCCACAACTTTGAATACAGGGTGTTTCAGTTTATTGTTTTAAGATTCGATAGAACTTTTAAAATTAATGCATAAAGTCTATATAAACATAGGTCGAAAAATGCGTGGATTCCGAAATACAGGGTGTTTAAATTTACTTTCTAAATCAGTTTTTTAAATATTTCGAACAATATTTGATGTATAACAGTGAAAATTGATATACAAGGGTTTTTTGGTACGACAAAACGAACCATGGGCATAGTTTTACTGTAGCTGCTAGAGGGCGCTCTCTACTGTACCTGTAGTGTATTTAAATGACCGAAATTTTTTATGTAGTGCAATTTTTTGCTTTTAGGATAAAAAAACTGATTCTTCGCATTTTTCAACATAAAAAAGCTCTCCAGTGAGTTTTCGTTATAGTTAGCCGTTTTTGAGATATTTAGATTTTTAAGGTCGATGCATTTTTTATTATTTATGGGAAAATAATATTTTTTTTACATTTTCGATTTGGGCATTACTAGTAATTAAGATGATCGTTTAGATTGTGTTTTTAAACGCAGCAATAATTCCTAACTCCAAATAAACACAAAAAACAGAATATTAATTTGTTTAATTTTCCAATATTATTTTTAACAAATTAAATTAATTATTTACAACTAAAATGCTATTGGGTAGTTAGGACAAACATACAAAATCTAAAGTAGTTGCTCGAAATGTAAACCTAATTGTTCAATACACAATTCACATCTACGAATGATCGAACGCATTATTCAAATAAGGCCTTATTTCATCACATGCATTCCTGATTCGGTCTATTAGCATATCTCTTGTAGTTACGGGAGTCTGGTACACTTTTTCTTTTAGAAATCCCCACACAAAAAAATCTAATGGATTTAGGTCAGGGGATCGTGGATAATTTTCGTCCAGCCAGTTTCTAACTATTCTCGAATAATGAGCTGGACAACCATCAAGCTGGAAACAGACCAATCTTCTTAAATCTAACATAACATCATCCCACATATTTGCATGTTCAGCCTTTAAAAATTCCAAGAAGGTCGCAGCATTTAACCTTGCAGGCAAAAGGTAGGGTCCAAATGGTCGATTACGGTAGATACCAATCCACACGTTCACACTAAATTCATGCTGAAAATTTATTTCCCGAACTGCTTGCGGATTTTCATGCGACCAAATATCTTGATTATGAAAATCTACAACTCCACGTCTAGTGAAGCATGACTCCTCGGTCCATAAAACGTTACTTAAAAACTTCCTATTATTATTAGTTCTATCAAGAATCCACTGACAAAATGTGATTCTCCGTTCTCCGTCCCCTGGCAGTAGTCCTTGCACAGGTTGCAAATGGTAAGGACGTCTATGGTCATTTCTAAGAACACGGTGAACATGGCTTGCTGAAATTCCTAAGGCACCAGAAACTCTCCTAACACTCACGCAGAATCATACGGATAAATCTGCGCTGACGAACATTTATGTTTTGATCCCTTTGGAGATTTCCAAAACCATTTTCAATTATTTGGCGATGCACTCTTACAAATACTGAGCGAGTTGGATGTCGTCTGTTTGGAAATCTTCGTGCGTATTCTCTGGCTGCTTCTGCTGCGTTTCCATTTACAAAGCCATACACAAAATGAATATCCGCTAACTCTTGATTGGAGAATAAAAATGGCATTTTTATAAAACTTACAAAAAAAACAGGTAAAAGTAACTAAATTTCGTGCATTCACAATTGCAAAAAAACGTTTCAGGTTTCAACAGACAACAAAACTAAGTGTCAACTAATTGACGTTTAACCTTATTCTGCTTTCAATTTCAAAAATATTTGGAGGCATAGCCTACTTCTAAAAATTATCGAGATACTGACTTTTTAACGTTATTTTATCATAGATAATTAAAAATGCATCGAACCTCAAAAATCGAAATATCTCAAAAACGGCTAACTATAACGAAAATTCACAGGAGAGCTTTTTTATGTTGAAAAGTGCGAAGAATCAGTTTTTTTATTCAAAAAGCAAAAAATTGAACTAAGATAAATTTTTGGTCATTTCAATACACTACAGGTACAGTAGAGAGCGCCTTCTAGCGGCTACAGTAAAACTATGCCCATGGTTCGTTTTGTCATACAAAAAAACCCTTTTATACCAATTTTCACTGTTATACATCAAATATTGTTCGAAATATTTAAAAAAACTATTTTAGAAAGTAAATTTAAACACCCTGTATTTCGGAAGTCACGCATTTTTCGACCCATGTTTATATAGACTTCATGCATTAATTTGAAAAGTTCTATCGAATCTTAAAGTTATGCAACAATAAAGTGAAACACCCTGCATATTGAATATTTTTGCGAATGGATTGGCTAAAACAGGAGAACAGTCCTTGATCAAAGGGGAAGGGATCTTATCAGGACCCGATGTCATTTTATTCTCCAATTTACGGATTGATGTAATTACTTCATCTTCGGTATGGTTTTCACTATTGGAAACTGGAAGATCGGTTTCCGCATTATTACCACTAAATTCATTATTGAGGTTTATCGTGTAAACCTGCTGAAAAAACATTTTGAATGCATTCATGGTATCGTTAGTAGATAATACAATATTTCAAGCATAAAGAACGTTTCTAGAGAATCGATTTTCTTCTCTTGACTATTAAAACATAAAAATGAAAAGTGGTAGAAGAATTGAGCCCACATCCATTCAAAGTTACTGGCAAGGACCGTAAAATTAAGGATGCTGTACACCAGCATGCAGGAGACACTGGTGGCTGGGTAGCCAGGTCTATTACCGCGTTGTGGTGCTGCTAGCACATCGCTCGAAGGCAGAAGCAGAAGCTGCATTTCGAGCCATGGACATTGTGTTTGTCTGTATACGTATGATCCGGATTGTTGCGAGACCAAATAGGCACATCGCATCTCTCACGTACCAGTAGACAAGCATTTGAAGTGCGGTGCTGATACAATGCAGTCGTTAAAAAGGGTCAACGCTGACCTAACTGCCAGGATAGGCCCACCCGCCGATGCTTCTACTATTACTACTACTACTATTGCTTTACGCAAGATTGAAAAGAGGCCTAGTGGTCAATTTTGTGATTTATTGCAGTTAAACTATCAGTGTTACTTTCACACCTTCATCTCCGTTTTTTAATATAGTGGGTATATTAGCACTAGCTTTAAACTAGCTTTTCTTTCAACTAGTTATAGATCTAGTTTTAAACTCGCCCTGAAGATGCCAACACCACGAACGACTTATCAGATATTAAAAAGCTGGTTGGGTGAGTGATAAAGGTCTGTAGCAGTCATAGTCCGTACATAAAAAGATCCAACTTCATATATATTTTTGTGAAAACGGTGTCATAAATCGTGTTTCTCTCGCAGTTTCTGTAGTGTGCATTACGCCTTAGCAGATGGTAATGAAAACAGTTAAATGCCGGTATTCCGAATCTCCCCGCAACGTTACACCTAGACGTAATTGTTGTTTTGTCAATCAAGAATATTTACATTTTTACGTAAAGCATGCTGAAACGCATCAGTGCTGAACAAGCTGTTCTGGTCGCCTCAGCTATGATACGTTAGTCAATACCATCTTATATGTATAAAACAATGATATTAATGCTATTAGCCGGAGCTATAACGCAGATTATTCTGATTTTAAGGTACATCTCGGGGATATGTAAACTATATACTGGTGATCCGCCAGTTATCCTACCATCTACGTGTTAAGCAAATTGCATCCTTAATGCATTTAATCAACAACTGTAGAACCATGTTCAACACTGTCTTTGTTGTGATACTACTGTTATGTGCTTTTTGTTGTATTTTGGTGGACTTACAGTCAGGGGGATTCTTTTTTTCGTAAGTAACTAGTACCTATGACTTTTAGAGTATTGTAAGCGCTTTACTAATTTCTAAGCTCGAGGCTCAATACCAATCTAGAGACGATACAGATTATCGGATTGCTAGTTCACTAAAAAAGCCTATTTCGAATCCGTACATTGGAAAAGATCTTTTAAGCCCTCTGTACATATTTTCCGCTAGATAGAAGAACTAGCGGAAAGGAATTGTCGGAGAGGCGAAGCTGTTTACCCAGTTTCCGTGAAAAAATTTTACATTCTCAGGACAAAAGTTGCTTCCCGAATTTATAGTAAAAAATACTGTCCACAGTGACAAACATTTAACCTGTCATTATTCTACTCGAGAACTACTAAACAGAAGCTGTGCTTATCTATACTAAGTGACATATAAATCCGAACACACAGTTTAAATGGTTTTATTATAATAAAACTTTGTATAAGTACTTAATGAAGCATAATAAGTATATGATAAAAATTTCAAAATGATTGCTCTGCTCTAAAGCCCTTTGACCTTTAATAATGTGTGGATGCACCCTGATGTGCTACGAATTCTCCAACGCGCCTAGGCATGCTTCTGATCAGGTGGTCAATGTCCTCCTGTGGTATCTCATTCCAGGCAACCACCAACTCCTCTCGAAGTGCTTTTAGAGTCTGAGGAGAACGTTGCAAATTGAGCAATCTCCTACCCATCATATCCCACACGTGCTCAATTGGGGATAAGTCGGGAGATCTTGGTGGCCATGGTAACAATGTGACATGATTATGTTGAAAGAAGTCTATTGTGACTCTTGCAACATGTGGTCGGGCATTATCTTGTTGGAAAGTTGGATCTGCCAGGGTGTCAAGATAGGGTAAAAGATGGGGTTCTAGAACTTCGTGGATATAACGCTGCGCGTTCATGTTACCTCTGATGAAGATTAAAGGTGACCTGGAACCATAAGCTATAGCACTCCAAACCATAACTCCAACAGTGTGATGAACATGTCTTTCAACAAAAAACTGTGGATTCCTCCTTTCACCACGTCGCCTTCTAACCCTGGCACGACCATCGTGCATGCCTAAACAAAATCGAGACTCGTCACTAAAGACAATACTGTTCCATTCCTGATCCAGAGTGACCGTTGTCTGCACCACTCAAGGCGATTACGTCGGTGTTCTCGAGTTAACGGGAGGACCCAGTGTGGCCGGTATGAAAACAAGCCAAAACTTCTCACTCGTCGGTAAACACTTCGCATGCCAATAGGTCTTCCGTGTTCTGCAAACCATTCATTTGCAATGGACCTGGTAGTGGAGAAACGGTTCCTTAAGGCCAATTATCTTAGGCGGCGATCTTCACGATCTGTTGTTCTACGGCGGCGTCCAGTGCCCCTTGCTCTTTGCCGACGGCCTTCTCAAAGTCATGCCTGACAACACCTAACCACAGTGTCTACACTTCTTTGCACTCTAACTGCAATTGCCCGAAAAGAAAGTCCAGCTTCCCGAAGTCCCACTATACGGCTCCTATCAAACTCACTAAGTTGACGAAATCGTACAGGTCTCCGTACTCTAGGCATCGTAACCGATCGTAAAGGATGTCAGGAACCAAAATCCGCCAACGTTGATTCTTTACTGCGGCTGAAATATTCATTTTTAGAGCGTTAGTGAATTAAAAAAAAACAGTATAAAAACCGGAATGTCCAACTGATAAGGCTGAAAATTTTTTCACTTGTTATTTACAGTAAGATAAATATATGTACATTCACCAACTTTTATTGAAATAAAACCATTTAAACTGGGTGTTCGGATTTATATGTCACTTAGTATATATCGTCGTTTGGTGTTTCTACTTCCTACGTCTACTGACGAGGAAGAATTTCGAAAATTGATGGTATTTATTTATGATGCCTACATTATAAAAGTGCGAAGTTTAGCTCGTGTATCTATTCTTGACCACCTGGCCCAAATATCAGGAACAAACTTATAATAGTAAATTTATGTGAATACATTCAAATTTGAAGTTAATTCTTCAAGGACATATACACTTATTGCAACGGGTTGTGATTTTTTAAATAATATTTAAACCAATTTAAAGACAATGGTTTTAGCTTTTCCGGAACCGAGTTGTACATTGTAACTGCGTTAAGTGTGAAAGATCGGTTGAATAAAGCTGTCTTGTGACGTGGCATGGTGAATAAATGCGGAGATCTAATTACTCTACTGGATGAAATTATATTTATAAGGTTTTGGAAAAGTCCAACCACGCTTAGCCAGCCCATACTATCAATGCTCCTTGAAGTTGGGTCATATTTTTTTAAGCTATTTATTTGACGGCAATAATTATTTCGGATTTTTTGTAGTCGCCTTGCAGTGGTTTGCTCTAAGCATGGAATATAAAAGGTAATACAACATAGAATTTTGGATATAACTTAGCTTTCGTAATGCTTTTTGATTAGATTTAGTCATGACATCTTTCTTTGCATATATAAGATAAATAACAATTTCTAAAGAAATATATTCTTTAGTAAATTGTATTCTGTTTTTGAGCTGAAAAGGATAGCTCTAGTAACACCTCTTAGAACAGAAAAATCATTTCCTAAAACTACTGTCTGGGATCCACCAGTAATATTGCATCGAAATAGATTTAAACTTCATTCACATGGTCCTAAATATTTTAGCTATGATATTAAAAGGTCATAATTAATTTCATCAAACGCTTTAGAAAAGTCAACGAGTAACACGACACTAGCATCACTCCTGTCTGCAGCGGTGATGATATCGTCGGCGACAGACAACATGGTTGTTGTTGTGGCTGTACCCTTCTCTGAATCCGGATTGTTGATCTGGAATTAAATCGTTTCCAGACAAGTATTTTTTAGCTGCAAAGAAATTATTTTTCCAAGAAGTTTTGATAGTACGGGTAGCAAACTGATTGGTCTTAGGTCACTGTAACACTCTGGTAAATACATTTTGTTGTAACAAGAAAGATCAGTGATTCTTTTCCTGAATTCATTTTGGTTGTAATCCCCAGTAACTCTATCCATCCATTAGACATATTACAGTAACCACACATTTACCTTCAGCCTTAGAAATATCTGCAGCAGTTGCGTGCCGATACGTGCACCGTGGTCTGGCTGACATTTGTGGGTCGAGGTCGGTAATCGCTTTAGTGTTGTTGTGGGTGGTATGCTCCTATAATCAATATTGTCATCCACGTGGGATTTATCATGGCAACGATCATGAATTCAATTAAAGACATTTAATTTTTAGCTAACTTTTTTCTTGGAAGGGCTAGCTTGTGCTGAACATAATCCGTTACGAAGTGATGATAGCGTTGCGTGGGTCAACTTACTTATCGCCATTTTTCGAATATGCTTTAAACGTACAGGCATTATTTTTTTGTTTTATCAGAAATCGCATGTGAGTATTTTTAACTAATCAAGCTGATGGTACATTAAATGCACCAGATTCTTTCAAGTTACATAATGGTCGCTTCCAATATTCAGCAATCATCCCGAATTCTTACAGGAGCTTTGTAAACTTTTAACTCTGGTCAGTAACCAAGGGAGTTTAGTTTGAATCCGGCGATCATCACGGTCAGACGTCAAGTCCTAATCGATCTACCCAATGTTCTACGTTTGTTTCTGTTAATGGACCACGAGCAATAATACCGATGTTTTTAATTAACGTAACTGAGTGAGAGATGATCCAGGTAAATTTGAAATAACGGGTGATTTTTTAAGGGGTATAGGATTTGATTTTCAAAAAAAAAAAAACACAAAAAATTTGAAAAAAACGATTAAATCTTTATTTGAATCGATAGATCGGTCGATTTAATTTGATGTTTAAAGATTATTTCATGTAAATGTTGGCCGCGGCTCCGCTTTAGATGGCCCATGCGCAAGGTCAAATTTTGGCACACTCTCTCCAACATATCGGCCGGTATCTCACGAATAAATGCCTCAATATTGGTTTCCAGTACGTAAATCGTTGCTGGTTTATCCCTGTAGATAGTAGCCTTAACATGGCCCCACAAGAAATAGTCCAACGGCGTTAAATCACACGATCTAGGCGGCCAATTGACTGGCCCCAAATCTAAGATAAACTGTTCACCGAACTCGCCTCTCAATAGGCCCATTGTTTCGTGTGCTGTGTGGCATGTGGCACAGTCTTGTTGAAACCACATGTCAGCCAAGTCCAGCTCTTCCATTTTGGGCAAAAAAAAGTTTGTTATCATCGCACGGTAGCGCTCGCCATTCACAGTTACGTTCCGGCCATTGTCGTCTTTGAAGAAGTACGGCCCGATGATGCCACCGGCCCATAATCCACACCAAACAGTGATTTTTTCGGGATGCATTGGTAGCTCTTCCAATGCTTCTGGCTGGTCTTCACTCCAGATGCGGCAATTTTGCTTGTTAACGTACCCATTCAACCAGAAATAAGCTTCGTCGCTGAACACAATTTTTCGATAAAAATGTGGATCTTCCGCCAACTTTGCCAGCGCCCATTCACCAAACTGGAAACATTGTGGGAGGTCGTGTGGCTTCAATTCTTGCACCAGCTGTATCTTATGAGGTTTTACACCCAAATCCTGTCGCAAAATTTTCCACGTAGTGGAGTAACAGAGGCCCAATTGCTGCGAACGGCGGCGAATCGACATTTCACGGTCGTCACTAACACTGGCGGATACAGCCGCTTTATTTTCTTCAGTCCTCACTCTACGTCTGCGTGTTGGTGGTTTAATGTCCAATAATGTAAACTGGGTGCGAAATTTAGTCACAAGCTTCCGAATAGCTCCCTCAGTAGGCCGACCAAGTTGCCCATAAATTGGAAGCAGTGCTTGTGCAATCTCTTAACCGAGCATGAATTTTGATAGTAAAATTCAATAATTTGCAAGCGTTGTTCGTTCGTAAATCGATTCATAGTTAAATTATAGACCAAACTGAACAAGTTTGATAATGACACAAGACACGATTCACGCGTCATCTGTCAAAAAACGGTGTTGCCAAAAAGATACTAGCAAAAAAATCACCCATTACCCCAGCACCGTACGATACTCTTTGACTCTAGGTGGAGGTAACTACATAATTTAAGGACTAAGGAGCTGTATATTTGAAATGGAACGTTTTGTCGGTAGTCTCCAAAGAACAAAACTCTTCCAGATTAACCTAAAGAATCACCACTCCGATGTTTATCCCATATTTTGGAAACAGCCTGCGTAGTACCTAATATTAAGCTTAAAATTTTACATTGTTGCCAATACTAACCTCCAGATTACCAATTTAATCAAATATTATTTAAAATGAGTTCCTTTTATAATCTTAGTCATAGAAGTTTGAGGTACAACGTTCCTTGGAAATTTTATGCATATTTCGCTGAATTCCAGCTTTGAGACTGAAAACGGCATCAAGCGGGCTTTCGTAACTGGCACTGAGAACTTCCACGGTGTCTATATATACAATACTAACGATGGTGCAAGACACGTTGTTCATTTTGGAGGCAGTGAGCGGGACAGCGGTCCTTTTGTAACCTTAAACGGGCCAGTAACATCACGACCAGTGGGACCACCAGTTTCAAAGTATACACTCGCACATGCGCCTAAGAGTGTACAAACGGCTTCAACTGCACCAGCACCTGCTCCAGTTCCTGCGCCTGCAGTTGCAGACCTTCCTATTGCTCCACCAACTGTACCAACTTCCACAGGCAAGTAAATCCCATGGAGGTCGATAAGACAGTCGTCTGCTTTTCCCGAGAACAAACCATTTGTTCAATGTCAAACCAGTACACCCTTTCAGACACAAGTCACACCTCAAAAATATAATCGTTGAACCATTATTATACACGGTGGAAGAGAATTACTTCTAACTCCATTCCTGGTGATGTATGAGAACAAATGTATTATGTGAAGAGCTTATTGGTTGATGTATTGAAAAAGTTTGGTTGAATTTACGCAGTGGAATTCAAAAGCTATTAAAGGAAGCCCGACAGACAGTGAAGCTTTATTGGGGTCTGTAGGGGCCTGTATCAGAGTAGATACGACAGAGCCATATGAGCTTTTCCGTAGAAACATATGAAATTATTGTTTCCTACGTCAATTGTCCAGAAAGTATTGTGAAGTATATACATACGATATTATCTGAGACTTTACTTGACATACAAGGTTTTCGGCTACAAGTTGACCCCTCTAACTTTTTTATATGACCTTCTAGAAGAGAAAGTTGTATATAAAAGTTAACATAATAATAACAATAATAATAATAATAATAATAAATTGTCTTTATCCGATTCCTTTACATTGTATTATATTATTTTATATTACATTATCCAACATACAGTAATACTCGTAGATAAGTCACTGAAGTTTTGTTTCTCTACTCAACCGTATATCCTAATATTTATTTAATATGACGTTAACTTTTTTAAATAGCTCTAAAGCGAAAAATATTGTGATCCGCGATCTATTACTATAGACCTATTTTTTGTATACAGGGTGGCGCATTGAAAACGAAACAGACACATTTACTGGCAGCTCAGTTTTTTTTTTAAAAACTCTCAGACCCGTGGATTTTGTTTTCGAGGGGGACACAAGTTTGGAAAAAATCAAGTTAGCACGTGCAGCCCCCTAAGCGGGGGTGACACCAACCCCAAAATCTTAAATGGAAAGGGGGGTCGAGTGATACCTTATTTTAAAGGTCTTTCAATTCCCTTTATTATGATATAAAATTAATGTACTTCAGTTCAGTACTTTTGAAGATTTATTGATTTAAAGCTTAAATAAAACTAATTCATCATCATTAGTGGAGATCAATACATTTGGCAGCAAAGTAATTTAAAAATGAAGAATGAATTGACCCGTTAGGCAAGTAAATGTTGAAAATGGCCACCATGACTCACCATGCAATAATAAAGATTTTGCTCAAAACGTTGTCGCACATTTTGCAATATTTGAGGAGTAATTTGAAGGCACTCATTCACAATTCTTTGTCGCAGGTCTTCTAATGATGTTGGCTGATTAGCATAGATTTTACTTTTTAGATGACCCCACATAAAGAAATCCAAAGGTGATAAATCTGGCGATCTTGGGGGCCATTTAGTGGCACCTCTTCTACCAATCCATCGATCTGGAAACGTCTGATCTAAATATTGTCGAACACGTAATGCGTAATGTGCTGGGGCGCCATCCTGTTGGAACATCAACCTATTCGCAATGTACCGCCGATCATTCTGATTTTCAATTATGGCTGTTAATGCAGGATCTATGGCGTCTTCCAGTAATTCCAAATACATTTCACCGGTCAAATTTCCAGGTAACAAAAAACGAACAACTAAATGATCGCCAAAAATACCAGCCCCAATATTTAATTTTTGTGGCAGCTGTGTATGAACCTCATGATAAATTCTGGGATTAGAATCGGACCAATATCCGCAGTTATGACGATTTACTACGTCATTTAAGAAAAAGGAACATTCGTCGGAAAAGCAAGTATTGAATAGAAAATGTTTATCGTTTATAATTCGTTCACTCATATCTTCACAAAATTGTAATCGCCGATCAAAATCGTCTTCATTAAGTTCTTGTACCAGATGAATTTTATACGGATGAAAACTATAGAACCCGTTGGAGAGTACGTCGACTAACAATTTGCGGGTACTTAAGGTAGGATCTATATAGACTTGCCCTAAAACCCCATTTCTATTGCTTCGTTCCTTATGCGATTTTTAATGTTGCGTTTTTTATTGGCGACTGACAAAGTTTCCCTAAATTTAGCTGCAAGTTTTAGAACATATTTTCGATGCACGTTACTGTTCTCATGTCGCTCATAAAATATCTCTGCTGTTCTATTAGCGCACTGATTATTTCCGAAAAATATTTAGATAATTTCAACTCTTTCTGCTGTGGAATATACCATTGTTAATTTATGTAATAAAGCGTTACAAGCTATTTTAGCAACAAAGTTCGGTCAAATCAATCGCAAACTATGTACTGAATTCCTATTTAAAATAAGTACGCGATATTTCCTTATCTTTCTTCATGAAATATCTTTTTTGCTACAAAAGACGCTCCATTAGCTATTTTCAACAACAAAACGGTTGAACAAACCATGGACGTAGTGAAGAAAAGCATTTACTTATTAAGTAAATTTGTTTAGTCAATTTTCTTCTGAAAGTAGTACAAACTAATCTGATGTACCTATTAAAGTCTACTTTAAGCTTTAAATCAATAATTCTTCAAAACTACTGAAGCTCATGTATTTTACATCATTATAACGGGAATTGAAAGACCTTTAAAATAAGATATCACTCGACCCCCCTTTCCATTTAAGATTTTAGGGTTGGTGTCACCCCCGCCCAAGGCGCTGCACGTGTTAACGTGACTTTTTGCCAAACTTGTGTCCCCTTCGAAAACAAAATCGACGGGTGTGAGCGTTTTTCCAAAAAAAAAAACTGAGCTGCCAGTAAATGCGTCTGTTTCGTTTTCGATGCGCCACCCTGTATATAGATAGAAGTGTCTTACGTGACCAATTGGTGTCAAATTTATCAAGGTAGATTGGGTGAGAGAGCGGTGAGGGAGTGATTCTGTGAGTAACAACTGCTTCCAGTTATTTTCAAAATTGTTCAGAGTGTAATTTCGAAGTTTATATGAAAGATTATTGTATAGCCTTGGCAGCAGTATAGGAGAAGCTCTTTTTGTAGCGAAGTTATTTGTTGGGTTTCTTCAAAAGATATTCTGTTTTCACTAAAGTTTTATGAACCAAACATAAACCTTGGTATTTTCTGAGATTCTCCATGTTTACTTTAAAAACCTCTTTGGACACGTGGCAAATTTCCGTATACCTAGAGAAAAACGGTAACAATAATTTTGTAGACATTGTAACTTGTGTTTGTCACTTTTTATTATAGCTGGGTCATATACACTTGCGAGTAAATCAAATTATGATTCATCGTCCAACCATAACCCTAAATTTTTGTCAATAGTTAAAATTGTTAACAGAATTTTACTAATTGCTGATTGAGAAATGAAAATGGAACCTTCGGGTACACCCATTCTTAGGGCCGATTCATTAGATAATTCGTTATTAACGGAAACATACTGATATCTGTTAGTAAGGAAGCTTTTCATAAGCTGGACGACAGCAGATCTTAATCCATAATATTTAAGCTTGGTACACAAAATTTCGTGGTCAATTATATCAAAAGCCTTACTGTAATCTAATTATATTAAACAAACAGCTTTACGGCAGTCTAGTCAACTAACAATGTCATCGTCTATATAAATGAGTGCTGCTGTTGTGTTACAAGAAGCTTTGGAACTACGGTTTCACCCACTTTGTATCTTGTAAAATGATTATGACTAATTTTTTCATTGATATTGATAAAATTATGATACTCTTTAAAACAGTTTTTTTAAAAATACCAAATTATATGCATGGATTTAACATGCAGCCCCGTGCTAATAGGGCATAGCGTAGATGCAGTTCAATTAATGTATTGTGTAATGTACGAATTTGCCTTTCTGTCAAAATGCTAGCTTTAATTTTATGTGACACAAATCGAACTTTTTTTAAATACAAGGAATATGGATGCCTCAACGTGAATGAGAATCTAGAAATAATCCGAGATACTTCATATTTGGTGCTCTATTAATTAGGACTTTCTGAATGTCGGTAAGAGGGATATCAGGATGATTTTGTAAATTCCTAGCGTAACATACAAAAGTTAGAAAATGTGTTTTTGAATAGTTTGTAATTATCTTTCTGTTGGGAAACCACTGTACAATGTTGAAACGGTTTCAATTATGTTTTTCAAATGACACCTGCATATAATATTGCAGTATCATCTGCAAAACTTGTTATTTTGCCATATGATTCCTAATAATTGACCACTTATCTTGAGACATCCTATACTTCCAAGTAAATGAGAATTAAATGAATATGGTGTCCTTCCGTTTTGCTTAGAAGTACGTTGGTGTGGGGTGTTATTAATCAAGCCAAACATTTTCAGCATGCGGAGAAAGATTCGGAGGAGGATATGAAAGTGGTGAACTAGGCACAGGAGGATATGGAGGTCCAAGCACTCAGTCCATCGCTCCTGGGTTGATAGCCTCTGCGGTTGGTGGTGGTCTGGGTTAGGAGATTAGTGAAGAACTTGAAACATGGCCACAATAAAAATGTCCTCGGCGAATAAAATTAATTTATTTGATACCATCCAGTGGAAGAGACTGCACGAATCAGTAAACGTATTTATGTACACATAAAAGGTTTGGTTTTTCATCAATAAAAGAAACAACATCCTAGAGCCAATATTTTAGATTTCCATTGTTGGTTGATATAAATAGCTACTAGTGGATTTTAGGAACACTAATTAATCAGCATCACGCAACTCAGCCATCAAAGTGCCTACTAGCTAATTGTAAAGTATATAAATTACATGATATGATACAGATATGGTTTGGACACCCTTGACCAGGTAGTGAAGTGTATCTTAGGAATAGCATTTCCAGACGTTAACTCTTTCTTTTCAGCCCACGGACATTTTTATACCCTTCATCTTACTGTGGTACCATTCAGCATCGTACCGTTTCTGACACTGCTCCAACCTAATAATATTATTCCCTTGACGTATTGCTGCATTTCTCGGCGTTTATGCGATGACGCACATATACAGGGTGATTCAGTTTATTGTTGCATAACTTTAAGATTCGATAGAACTTT